ACACAACCACAAAAGACACTTTCACTGCAACTGTCAGAGCAAAGCAGGAAACACTACGCGACATCACTGAAGAATCATGCGTGGAAGAACATTGGAAGTCTCTGAAGGCGATTCTCAACGAAACGTGTTCAACGGTTCTAGGAAGAAAGAAGAGACAAGACAAGGAATGGCTCTCAACGGACACTTGGAAATTAATAGAAGAGAGGAGAATGGTGAAAGAGAAAATGATTCAATGCAAGGACGGACAGGAGAAGGAGACGATGAGCTCAACTTACAAAGCCCTGGACAAAGAAGTGAAGAAAAGTGCTAGGAAGGACAAAAGACGATTCTACGACAATCTAGCTACTGAAGCTGAGAAGGCAGCAGGCAAAAGGGACCTGAGGACACTATATCAGATAACCAAATCTCTATCCGGGAAGAGACCAACACAAGCGAAACCTATAAAAGACAGCCAAGGGAACCCAATTACCAAGGAAGAAAAACAGATTAAACAATGGGCGGATCACTTCAAAGGACTCTTGAACCGACCATCACCTGCAACCCGTCCAGAAATACCAACAACAGCGCGCACACAACTGCAAGTTGACACCAATCCTCCAACGAGAGCTGAAGTCTTGAACGCAATCAAGCTTCTGAAAGCTGGAAAAACAGCCGGACCAGATGGAATACCCCCTGAAGCACTGAAAGCAGACCCAGAGACTACAGCAGACATGCTGACTCCATTATTGCAAAAGGTCTGGAAGGAGGGAAAGGTGCCTACTGACTGGAGGAAAGGTTACCTCGTGAAACTACCAAAGAAGGGCGACTTACGCCTCACTCTGCAAGAACTGGCGAGGAATCATGCTCCTATCGACGCCAAGTAAAATCCTGAGTCGCATCATCCTGGAGAGATTAAAGGACGCACTGGAGACAGAACTCCGACCAGAACAAGCTGGATTCAGGAAAGGCAAATCATGTACTGACCAAATTGCAACTCTACGCATCATCATCAGAACAAAGCATGGAATGGCAATCAAACCTCTACCTCAACTTTATAGACTTTGAGAAGGCCTTCGACAGCGTTGATCGTGAAGTAATTTGGAAATTACTCGAGTACTATGGCGTACCCCAAATATTCATCAACCTTATTCAACAGCTGTACGACAACGGCACATGTCAAGTGATCCACAACGGAAAACTCAGCGAGGCGTTTGGAGTAAACACAGGAGTCAGACAAGGGTGCTTATTATCACCAATGATATTCCTAATTGTGGTGGACTGACTGGATTATGCGTCAGACAGTGGGAAACGAGAAGACAGGAATATCCTGGACCGACGTGAAGAACCTAGAAGACCTGGATTTCACGCGTGGATGATTTATGTTTGATGTCACACAAAATCGAAGACTTACAAGCGAAAACCGACAAACTGGTCGAAGAAGCAGCGAAGACAGGACTCCAGGTGAACATAGACAAGACGGAGGTTATGAAAATAACCAACCAACAACAACAACAGCAACAACATCCAACGTCAATCACCATCAACGGGAGGGATTTGAAAGAGGTTACTTCATTTCACTTATCTAGGGAGCATTGTCTCAACTACAGGAGGAGCGGACGAGGATGTCAAATCGAGCGAGAATCGGGAAGGCGAGAAACACATTCATCAGCCTGAAATCAATCTGGAAATCTTCGTCACTCAGCATCAACAACAAAATTTCGGATTTTCAATACAAACGTAAAGTCAGTTCTTCTATACGGATCAGAAACTTGGCGGGTCACAAAGAATATTTCCAACAGCTGCTGCAGACCTTTATTAACAACTGTCTTCGCTCAATACTGAAGATCAGATGGCCGGAAAGAATCACCAACAAGGAATTATGGGAACAAACAAAGCAAGAACCAATCGCCCAACAAATATGCAGGAGAAAGTGGAGATGGATCGGACACTCGCTGAGGAGACCGCTGGGTGACATCGCGCGCGTCAAGCCCTCGAGTGGAACCCGAAAGGGAAGCGGTGTGTGGGACGTCCAAGGGTGACATGGAGGAGATCGTGTGAAGAGGAGTTGAAAGAATATGGATTAACATGGATGCAGGCGAAAAGTATAGCAGAAGACAGAAGAAAATGGAGACGTGCAGTTGAAGCCCTATGTTCCACTAGGAACCCAAGGGAGCAATAATAATACTAATAATGCAAGTAGACAGAAGCAGTCTTCTGATTTGTTGTTTTGGGATTCCTCGAAAAATAGAGTTCTCTATCTGCGAATCATATTTTGCCACGTTAAGTCTGCTGTGGTTCGTTGTTGAATCAGCCTTCTATATATTTTCTCACGGCCTGGTTTCAACACATATATATCTGCGGAAACACTAAAAAATCGACTATCGCGCTCACTTAAGAAAACCATCTTCACAGCTGAATTACGACTAGCCTTCTCCACAAAACCTATGATTCATGTGATCGTGAAGGATAAGCTACCACTGCTGGCCTCATCAATGTGCATTTATGAATTCACCTGCTCGTGTTGAGCCAGGTATGTCGGCCCTACCCAGCGTTCGCTTTCCAAACGTATCACCGAACACTTACCAACATGGTTTTACAAAGGAGAAAAATGATGCCCCCACAGATCCATCTTAGAATATCTTATAGATTCCGGACACCAAGCTACACCTTAAACAAACTTCAAAGTTGTCGACAGAATACGAAGTAGTCTTCCTAAAGGTGTACGAATAAGACTTCTTCAAACTGCAGAAGCAATGGCGATTCACTTGCTAAGTCCTGAACTCTGCATACAGAAGAAGTTTGTTCAATCACCACACTTGAAATGGACGTAATCTATCTTATTATCCGACAAGTAAATTCTACCTAGTCCTTTTCTCTTCTGTTTCTTCATTAGTATCATTTTGTCTTCTCAAGTGTAACATTTTACATTTTCAACCTTCTTGTTCTCTACCCCCACCCTATTTAATTTCTACACTTCACTACCGCTGTTACTGACTTGACCAACGCTCACAATTTCTAGTCATTTATGTTATATCGTCCAACTTATTTGCTCCATTTTAGTTCTAATTTAAATGGCATTAAGCATTCTCTACCCCACTTCTACTTCTACTTCTACTTAGTCTCTACCTGTAATTACCTCTGTTGCTACCCTGACCTAAGTGGAAACATTTTAGTCAATTATATTACGTCATCTAACTTACTAACTCAGTCTTACTTTAGTTGCTGTCCGATTAACCTTGTTTCTATATTAGATCATTCTTGTATTACCTGATCAATTATCTAAACCTGACAAACCTCACGTATACACACACACAGAAATAATTATATATAAATGCGATTGTACAGCTATGTGAACGAATTCGCCGAAAAGAGTCTCTTTTCTCTGAACGTCTTCTCTTTTTCATATGACTCAATGGGGATTTTCAAAATAATAATGCCTCAGAAATTGTTCATCGTATCTTATATAATCCGACCTTTACTTTGCAGTTTCTATTGCTTACAACAGAAGTTATTTCAATGGATCTATTCCATTCCATTACGGGTAAAATTTATTTTGATAAAGTCTCACAGTGTTATACGCAGATATTTACTGATGACAACGTATCGAGAACAATTTATTGTTCATAATCATATCAAGGTGATATGGCTAACGAATGTTGTCACTGTTATCATTTTATTATTTTTCTTTGGTTTTCACTAGCTTACTAATTTTGTTATTTCATCTCAAGGCAAATCTACCCAATGACTCGTAAGAGTTTAATCACGAAGCCAAATATCACATCCATTTCTCTTCTATATGTATTAGTCACTTGTAAAGGTATAAATTACTTTGTTCAGTAATTCAGGCGGTCATCCTGTCTTGATACAACTTTATGCAGATGATTAGATATAAATTTAAAATGAGGATAGATAGTAATTAAAGGAAAGACTGCCAACCATATGTATGTATTTCAAATCGTGAATCCTCTTCTTGTAAATTTATTCTACCATGGATTATCTGACAGTAGTGTGCACTTAAATAATACATGGAACTATCAGACCCATCTTTGAAGTACTGATGCATAGTTTTACGTTTTTCTCAAGCAGCATGCAAACAAATGTTCATTTGTAATTTTTGAATAAAACTGGGAGTCAAGTAGTGGGGAGCTATTTTTGAACAGTTAGCATACTGGTCATGAGGAGAAGTGTACAACTTATAATCCGATAATGCAACGACATTTCACTTAATTAAATTATAAACTAAAACAAAAATCTTGGATCACAAGGCTGTATCCTCAAACGACAAATCTGACTAAGAAAATGAAAATAGGTCAAATAAATGCTAAGGACACAGTCAAGTGACATAGCATAGCATCACTGATTGGAATTTGCTTAATATTTTTGATGAGAATGGTGTCCGGCATTGAAATCAAGGAAATCATGTGAACAGAAAATGGAAGATTTTGTTCAATTCTGGACCTAGTTGAGAATCATAGCAGGAAACAGCATACAGTTGAAATGTGCTGCTGCTGAAGCCTTATATTTCACTTGAAAGGCGAGGAATGAACAATAATAATAATACTAAAAAAAACTGCTGAAATTGACAAGTAGTTGTAAGGTGGGGGAAAGACTCTGTTTGGTATATCAGGCAAACCAAGCAGATGAAAATCAACCTGAAACAAAGTTAACCTTCCCAGTGAACCGAAGAGAGATGTAAGAAGTCTTCACAGAAAGAATAAAGCAGAGTAGAAACACACAGATCAGGTGACTTTAGTATACCTATTATACAATCTTAACAGACTCTACGGAAAGAAAGAAACTCATTCTCATGCAGACAATCTTGGTGACTGGCCAATCCTCAAAATACTGCAATGTCCCGGCTTAAAGGACTAAAAACTGCATAATGAATACAAGGTGGATTGAACCATAAGCTAATCCTCTTTCTAACATTAATGCCCTGAAAATAAACTAGAAAATGTTTATCACTAAAGAAGCGAAAAAAAGATAGAAGCGTAACAAGATCAACATTTTGAAACACTTACGGTTTGCTGCTGGACATCTTTTGCGACTGGTTGAACTGATTTACTGATTTATCTGGATAATTGAGTGCAGTTGGATTTCTTGTTGTCATATTTGCTGTAACATAATTTGGCGTTCCATATTTACGGCATAAACTAAGTAGTTCATTTTCCAGTCTGTTCATTTCATATCTCACAAATTCATGATCTTGCTCTATCGATTGAATATTGTTTCCTCGGTAAAGACTGTGTCGACGTGGAGGAACTGATGGCGGTTTATCTTTATAATGTCTATCTATTGGTGTAAAGTCGACTGTTTCATTCTCTAAATTACTAACAGGCATATCTTCTTTTGTTGTTGGTGTTATTGTTGCTGTTGAAGATGGATTATTATTGCTAGATGGTAGAGAATGTTGTTTAATTGGTCCTTTTATACGAGATGAATTCATACCCATCAACTTTGAACTATGTTGTCGTAATAATGAGAATTCCAGACATGTGTCTTTAATTTTATTCTGATTTTCAGGTTTTTATGATAAAAAAAGACAGTATATTAACAGAAACATGGACTATTTTCATAAGAATAACATACACAACAAGTAAAAACACTTTTTTTCTACAAAATTATTTAGTTTGCAAACATTTTAAGGCTCAATTAACAAAAAACAGGTAGCCAGATATAATTATATAACAGAATAATGTTTAGGTGCACACATATCTACAATAAACAACAATGGTACTTTTACAATGAAAGCAGATACAATGAACATTAGGTATCATACTACTACCATGTATTTTTATTGTTATTGTTATCATTGTGATGACTAGTATGTTGAACATTCTACATTTAAATGATCACTGTACAACCAGCTTAAAACTGTTCGTTTTACTTAAGATAAATGAACAACATAGTTGTGTAAAAATGTAATTTAAATATCGTTATTTCAATAAACATGATTTAACATAACCAAATGAGACCAATAGTGTGTGTGTATTTCTATCACTCAGGTTTTATCCAAGCATGCATTTCATTTAATAAGTGACAACTTGAGTGATAGTTGCCATTTTTATTAATTACCATTCATTTTCCAGAAGCATTACAATAAAACACACACACACAAGTGTAAGCACTATGTCGATTTGTTTAAATCAAACGGATACAACGACGCGGATAGAACTAATTACAACATCAATGAAAAGATCAGACAACGAAGTGTCACAACAACAACAACAATCGGTCACGTTCTTTATTCGCTTACTGGTTAGTGTCTTCCTTTAAAAGAATTCTCCTTCCTCTATATACATTCAGACCAAAAAAGTGTTTTTGAAGAAAAAACACGTAATTACACAGTTTCCTCTAACTTACACACTAATTTGTAACAACTAAAAGTGTAATACATACGCTGTTACATGGGTTTTTAAAAAAAATGATATATTTTTTTTAGTAACAGACAAGTGAATAGATCTCATTTATGTCAGAAAGCCGTGAAAAATCTCTGCTGATCACTAACTGTTAGACTTGAAGTAACTGTAAATGATGTGGCTCATCAGTAAGTTCGTTATGAGTTTGTAGAAGGGGAAGCACTACACTTTTCCGAGATACAACACACTGGAAGATTAATAATACTTCTATTCAGAAAGTGTGTAAATGAACGTGAACATTCAACGTTGTTTCGTTGGCCTTGGCAGCCATTGGTGGGCAACTCGAAGGCGCGAATGATTCAGTCGTGTACAAGTTGGATGAAGACGAAAGAATACGAATAAAAACTCCGTATGACAGATCGAATTTAACTGCTGAAGAATATATTTTCTCATTACAAGTGCTTGTGTTTTGGAGTTCAAGTCGATTATCACACTTATTAGTTGTCGATTCGGAGAGTCTTCGTAAATAATGGGAACTTGACATAGTGAGATTCTCAAAAATTACAAAAAAAGGCACACAATCAGCTTCATTCAACAACTACTGCTGATTGTTGCATTTCCTAGTCAAAAATAAACAGTGTATTTTACAACGTCACACAAAGATTCAATTACTGATTATAACAATGACTTATTTCCAGATTTTCTATTTTAGCAAACTAATTCCCTTCAATTTAGAGATGGAATTTATTATCGGCTAGACATTTATATTATAAATACTGCAGCAGTTCGACTCGCCACACTTCAATTAGCACACAAAACAAGAGAAGGAAGTAAAAAGAAATGCAAAACAGAGACAGTAAACAAAAAGAATAGTAATATGGAAGGACAATATAGTTTTATTTGATATTATAAGTCAAAAGGAGTGGATACATCTGCTCGGTCATCGAGAACGATTTTGAGCCATATCACCAATTGTTTCCAGCCATCGGCTTTTACAGTCCCGAGGACCCCAACCACGCACTCTTCACCTTCCTACATGGCTTAAATTAACTGCTGTGGATTTCAATGACTGATGAAGCCATGTTTTGGTTTGACCAACCCTGGCTCTTTTCCAACCTGATTCATCCCATGTTAGCTAACATTGCCCGTCGAGGAAAGTAGTGGCTAGGCGTGCGTAACACATCTCCTAACCATCTCAATCGATGTAACTTCACAGCCTCGTCTACCTGTTTCCCCTCCTTACCTAGCACTCGACAGAAGCCTAACCTCAATACTGCTCACCTTATTACACGACTTCACACAGGAGATGAAACGCAGGCACCTATAATCAAAGACAGCATTTCTTCAACTTTAAATGACCAGGTCTCGTATCCATACAGGAAGACGGAGCGGAGTGGTGAGTAGTACACACGTCCTTTAGTCGATAGCCGGATATCACATCTACGCCAAAGATGGCTCAAACTAGCATATGTGAAACTAGCCTTCTATATCCATGCGGAGATCTCGTCAGCGATCAACCCGTTGGGGCTGATGCAACTTCCTAAATATTATAAACAATGAAGAAGTGAGGCAGCAGTCAAGCCAACAACCTATTGCTCGACAAATATACAGAAGAAAACGGAGATTGTTTGAACATATGTTGAAAAAACAATCAAGCCACATCACACACCAAATTAGAAACGGTGAGGATGACATAAAGGGAACCATGTGAAGAGGAAACGAAAGCTTATGGGCAGTTGTGGAGAGAGATAAGAAAAGCGATATAGAATGGAAGCCATATGCACTCCTTCGAACTCCAAGAAAGAATAATATGAAAAGAATTCCAGATTTCTGTTAGAGATTAAACAAAGTGTTCCAAACTATGCTAATGCTCAGTTATTGAAGTTTATGACTTCTACTTCTATTTATCTATTTTTTCTTATTCCATCACGCTCTCAGTGGAACATGAGGCTTCAAGCTAGAGTTTTTCCTCTTTACCAGCTTTATTTCTAGCTTAGCGAGGTAAAGGAGTGCATCGGCCGGGTATTGAACCCCGGACCATGTGCATGGTCGGCAAGCTTCCCAAACTCTGTGCCACCGATGCGCTTTATTAGGTTTTTTTGTTAACACTAATTCCTATTGTTTACTAAATGAATTATTAGTATCCACTGCCTCAAGAAGATGCGTCAAGGCAACTCAAACCACAGACAGACACATGAAGCTGTGGAAAACGTAGCTATAAACTTTATTTAAACTTTACTTTATTAATTGGTAGAAAATTTAGCCTTGAAGCAAATAAGACAAATAGTTGGAGAACGCATAGTCAACAATAAACAAAACAAGATAGCTGAAGTACAGTCCCATTTAAAAATCCTAAGAAATTTCTCCTCTTTACTCACGATGACAGTAACTTTGATTGGAACAGGTGTAATATCGTGCACATTTATTAAGTATATTCCTGTTATATATTTGATTTATGAATTTTGTTTTCTAATTTTAATTTTCTATAGAAGGTAATTACTTATTTTCCATTGGCACAAAATGTCTTCACATCAATTATTAATTCTCTCCATCATCTACAAAATAAATCCTAAATAGGAAGCGCTGATACTTACACCGAAACAGTCTTCAAGTACAGATAGCGGTTGAATCAGCCGAGGAGGGTTTCGGACTGCACAAGCGGTGCGCAAGCTAACATCAAGGGGTGTGGTTTTATTGCAGATGCAATAGAAAATTCAAAAAGAATGTGTATCCGCTAGGGTAATGAATCACCAAGAGAATGAAACAGTTGCGAAAGATTGTTCGATAAAATTGCTACGAAATACTGTCAGACTTTTCATGAAATTGCACGTATTTTTCCCACATTACATCCATTGATTAGTATGATCCCATATTTGCTCATTGAAGGATTTTTGTATATTCTGGTAGATTTCATTATTTATTTGACTTAACTTGATCACTTACATAAAACTAGAAAAGGTTAGACATTTCGGCATCACGCTAACGAATAACGGTAATTACCACGATTATTCTCTATTACATATTATTAAGACAACAGTTAGGTGTGTTCAGTATTAATATTTCTACTGCTGAATTCAATTTAAAGTAGCCTGGAGAAAAATATTTGTTAATTTCCAGTATTAAAAACAAGTGGTCAACACTACCTCAATACTTGACATATCGATTTTCTTGTCTTCATTTTGCAAGTTCAACAGATTGTTAGTTGTTGTTTTCAAATCCATCAGTCGAGCATTGAACGACTGCCACATTTGGTAACGATTGAACCAATCACTGTTAATTCAGTTAGAAATCAATAAAGCTTGTTATTATTATATAAATATATTTCTTGTTCAATAAAAGGTAGCAGTATTTATTAGACTGTAATTACTTAAAGAAATTTTGTTTCCACAGGATTATGATTAGCCATATATATATATATATATATATATATATATATATATATATAATACTTTCTTTAACATTTGAGAACGAAACTTTTTCTGGTTGTTGGAGCTGGGGAAGAAAACTTTGCCGTAAGTAAACTCTTTAAAAACTCGATAAAAAGAAGGCAAATACTTCAGTTTTAAGTATTTCAGAAGTGTGTTTGCATTTCACACTTTCTCGACTGAGAAGAGTTGAAGATGCGCTTTGAAGAACCATTTTCTTTCTTCATTATCTGTTTTATAAAATACTTAAATCATTCTAACTTTTCACTACACAGAATATATTTTCTGTAGAAAATTAGATAATGAGAATTGGAGGGAAGTTACCAGGTTAGGTCAAAGTCGTCTTCGTTGGACACTAGTCGGAAAGTGCTTTTATCAAGTATATATATATATATATATATATATATATATATATATATATATATATATATATATGTCTTGTAAGGTTAGGTGAAACTAATTTCTGTGCCAGTCAAAGTTCATCAGCTAGAAACACACAGAAACCAGTAAGTTGATCTAGATTTGTTGCAGGATTTCATCATGAGCTGACATCAGTTAGAGAACCATTGGAAAACCTGCACGGAGTACTTTTCCGCCCTAGTTTGGGACTGTTCAGCAGTACGCATTCAAGCGAGTTCGGACCTAGGACGTTCTGGTTTCATGGCGAGCTCATAGACCATTAAGCTATTGGGGCCTGTGACTTGAACAGAAACAATCAGTTCCAACACAAGTAACCTAGAAGGTGTGAAAACACACATAAACAACCAATCACATCCAAGGTCACCAGGAGGAATGATTAATAAACTCGTGGAGAAACCTAAAAGCTCACTTCAAATTGAAGTATGCGCTGAAGATGTCACCCAGTAGGGCAATGAAAGCTTCGCGAACTAACCATCCAGCTCAGAGAACAAAACCACATCAATCAGTACATTTTTGATAGGATTAAAAGGTATTATAACTTTCTTCCCTTAGTGTATTCTGAAGTATATTTTGCAAGTGGACAAAACCATTTTCACTAATTGTAAGAAGTTTAAAATTTAATGTCACGATAAATGGCAAGCTTACTCTTCACTTTATCTCAATTATATCAGTGCAGTCTTAAAGACGAATATATGCCTGCACAAGTTCTGAACGCAGATGGATTATTATATAGCGAATCATATACTAAAACGATTTTTTGCACTTCGCTATCCTCCGCATTTTGTTGAGGGACTGAGTTTAAAATGGATATCAGTGAAGAGTAAAACACCTATCAAGTCCTCGGTTAAACTTCACAAAAAGTTAGGATCTTGTAAAGATTTACAAAAATAAAATTATAGTAATAATATCATTTTCATCATTTCAACTCCATTCCAAACTCCCGATTTCCGGTTGTATACTTGGGAGAACTGGTAACAACGACCATCCGGTAATTAGATCACATCGATCTGACTAGCAGGTACTATAGGCTAATGTGAGTAGAATACAAGCAATCATCTCAACCAATAAGGAGTAAATAGACTGAACTGTTCTTGAGGCTATAGTGATATAAATCAATATGAATACATTACACAAAAGCAACACACTTCTGCTTCAACCAGAGTTTAAGTAAAACGAATCAATTTATTTAAAATTTATGGACATATCATCCTGCCTGCCTGAAAAAGAGTGAAACACTCGAGCATACTTCTGAAACTTACTTTCTGTTTAATTCGTATTCTTTTATATAACTATCCAGTCTACTTTTTTGAGTTGAGAGTAAAACTTTAAGCCAAACCATTTCATCGTTATCTTGTACACTGACATTAGCATCACCTTGGCACAGCGGATCATCTTGACTTTTTCCCTTCACAGACTGTACCTCATTGTCATTAATCTCCTTGAGAATTCTCGCCGAGTCTGTCAACGATTTACTACAAGCGTGTAGTTCACCTTCCAAAGTCTGCAAAACGGGAGAGAAATTTCAATTGATTGGTTAATAGATATAAAATATCAAACAAGCTGGAATTTACAAATTTCTTTGTGTAAAAGTCATTTCCTTGTAGTGTAACATTGAAGAAATGTATTCAACCTGTCTGTCTGTCTGAGTTCGATTTCAAGTAGTGAGTCACTATATACAACTGCCTTAGGCCTGTTCAAAAATTGAAAGCATGCCATTCACACAATACATACGTGTACCGTATTTGACATTTTGTCATCCGTTACTGGTTAAATGGAAGTCGTCTACTGTATTAGAACGACTGTTGACAAAATTTTAGCGTGGATTTATCTTCAGATGTCATGTGAACTATACCACAAAGACACTGAGTTGCTTCTATAGTACTGGTAAGGTGTGACAGCAATTTGCATAGCTTCAATTAGTGGTAACAGTCCCAAGTACAATTAGTGTTAGCAAACAAATCAAATGCTCGAATAATTGTTTACGAAGAACACAAAGAATTAGCTTATACCGATAATAATATTAATAAACAAGGCCAAAAATCAGAATCGAATCACCTGATGATTTTTCTGAGAAATGTTTATTTCGAATTGACATCTACTACAGTTCTGTTTACTTTTTAATAATTTTAATTAGAAATTTACACAGAAGTTTGTTTTTTTTGCTTATGCCTAATAAATAACTCTGTGAAGTCGAGTGGAAATCGTTCAGAAATATTCGCTAACTCAATTAGGCTTAACAATTTTAATAGTAAGTATTAGTTAATATAAAGTGCCCTTGTAACAAGTTTTTCCAAAGAATTAAAAGAAGTTTTTTTGAAAATTCAAATTACACAGCTTTATTAGTTCTTCTATCAGATATATTACTCTGTAGAAAGGCACATTTATGCCATGCTGACTGGATAAACTCGGCTTTTGTTACAAACTGTTTGCCATAACAAATGCACTCATGACACCCTGATTCACTTCACAAGACACAAAATATTCGTTGGTAAAAAGGAAATTTTAGTATTCTAACAGTCTGATTAAGGTAATCAGATTCTTTCGGTTAAGAAATGTCTTTCTACGTTTGGTTGACTCTCCTAAGTAAGTTTGTCGACTGTCCGTCCAAAGACGACAACATTGAAGATTATTTAAAATCTTTCTTCTTTTAATTTTCCTTCACATTCCCAGTGGAACGTGGGGCTTCAAGCCAGTGGCTTAAAGATTCTGTAGCTGTGTTTATTTTTATAGGATGGGGTTGTTAGCCTCATGCCAAACCTTTCCTCTTTATCAGCAATTTTTCTGGCTTAGCGAGGTAGAGGAGTCCGTCGGCCGGGGATCGAACTCCGGACCATGTGCATGGTAGGTGAGCGTCCTAACCGCTGTGCCACCGACGCCTTCTTTCATCTTACTGTCCCCAGTAAAAAGATTATTGTATTTTTCGTTCTTCAGCAGTAGTCTGAGAAAAAGGAATTAGAGATCAAATAAATTCCCTTGGCACTATACATATATATATATACGCTTTGCTGATGTTTAGCAGAAGTTGTGCAAAATGTATGTGTTTATTCCTTTCAGCCTTCTGTTAACATCTAACACCAAAGGTAAACTTGACCAGCACTTCTGAAAAAAAATATTTTTGGGTCACGCAAACAAAGAGTTTGAGTATATCAACAAGTTGTATTTCCGCAAGGCAGTTTCAACAATCTCATAACATACGAAATGTGTTGCGCATATGCATAACACGATTCATACAAATTATGTCTTATTATTGCTTTGCCTAAATTCATAAAGGGAACTAATTGTTTCAAAGTTGTATTTCGCTGGAAATCAGCAAAATCCAGAGAACCAGAGAACATAAGAGGCCATCGAATATCTCTTTTCTATCAGTGTAGCAACTTGTGGCAGTGAGAACAACAGAACCACCAATGTTTTAAGGTATAACAGTCAGGTTGCGAGAGGAACACTTTACAGTTCTGCTAGTGGATTGCAATCGAACGGCTCATAGGTCCTAAATTGCGCCATTTTGCCAAAATAAAAATACACTTATCCTATAATAGTTATAAGTGTAGGTGATACTTGGTCAAACTACCAAAAGACCTTAGAAAGATTAACGCCAACCAGTTGTCGTTTCAAAGTGTTCATTTCAACATCTTGATGAATGGTAATCTTTTGTTTTCAGACTAAAAGATGAAAAGGCCTACATTAAGATTCAAAATTAGGTATGGTAATTCATTCATTTGAATTTATCCGATAGAAATCATCTTACATCCATACTGGCACCAATCTGTGAAGTCAAAGCATCACGACACCGACCCAAATCATTCTGTATACAATTCAATAAACGATTGGTACATTGTAATTGTTTTTCATAAGCATTTAATAGAGTTTCATCGAACACATGGTCACCAGTGATAAATTTATTTTTTAAATCAGTTAGACTCATGTCTACACCATCACTAGTGTTGTTGTGCTTTAATCGTTCTCTATCTGCTGTCAATCGCCAACCATATTTCTTCTCCAGTTCATTGATAATTTCTAAGCACTGACCATACAGATCAGTTGTTGGAGTTTTCTATATAAAACAGAAAAAAAATAAAAAGTATATATATATATGAATTCAAAGAACTTTCGACTAAAATCGGTATTTTGCAGGAGCTTTCTGAAATTCTACATCGTTTGTTTGAATGAGAAGTACTCAGGATGACACATCCCTTCAACTTATTGCAAAAATCTCAACGAAAATCTATTCTTTCATTGGGTTAGCGCTTTAAACTTATTGGAATTCGGGAAATCCGTGATGTTTACACACATCTAGTAATCACCAGTGCTAATATTGTTTACTCAAGACTCTTTGCAAACACAATTTCGGTTTTCCTGTAGGTTGATTATATTGGACTGAAATGGTCAGCCTTCACTGACATTTCAGTTCCTAGTACGGACGCTTGGTTGAGGTATGAGGATTGAGTTAAAGTATTTTGGTGGTGGATGAGGAATAGGAGTAGAATTTAAGATGTTCATTTCGTATTATTTGGAAATTATCAGCTGAATGTACCCGAAATCCGTAGTGAGTGCTGGCATTCCTATTCAGACTCAAACCCAGTAACCTTCGTTTTAAACTTCAACAGAGGTCGAACATTTCGGTCCAATCAACCAATGGGAAATCAGAATTGACTTAGAACTAATAATAACTGATGCTCATTGCACGAGAGGTGACTCCTGTGTCCCAGGTGGTCTAATGAATAGTGTTTTGGTGTTTGAAACAATGAGTACTGGGTTAGAGTCTCAATGAGAATACGACCACTTACTAGGGATTGTAGGTATACCCAACTGACAGGTCTAAAATAGGATGAAATGCACATCGTGGATCCCACTACCGGTCGTCATCCACCAAACTAAGCGATAAGCTATTGGGTAAGTATCTTAGCATCTCATTAGTTATGTTTTCTAATCTGAGGTTATATAAAATACTGTGCACTGTCATGAATACTTTCGTATATTTTCGGAGGATGATACCAGAGCATTGGAGGAGACACTTTGTTGTCAGAATCATGTTATATATGAGTGAGATAACTGTTAGTAGCGTTTATAAATTGAACACCAGTAGGATAAATTCTGGCAAAAGGATTTTGATTTGATGTTTTTGAGAGAGAAGGTGCAGAGAGTGGCGGATGAATTTTGAAAGTGCTAACAAGCATCAAACTGTCAATAAAACATCCTGTTGATGGGGCTGAAACACTTACCGTCCTGAATACTACTAGTATGCACCTCTCAAGCCCACGTTAGAACATTATCACGCCTTGTGTGATTCATGCTCTTTCATGTATAGTAGCAATTGGAAAGCATTCAAGGTATCACTTAGTGATAGACACAGGAAATTTTTCCAATGAAAAAGGAATAAAACTCTCCCTTTCAATCTAGACATGTTGCTAAGTCTCCATATGGTTCTCAATAATTTAGTCTACGTTAAACTCAAAAAAATTTGTAAACGCATAATGCACTATGAAATTTTATAAAGCATTGTAGCATGGAATTAATTTTGTTTCCATTCGTGTAGCATGAAGCCCCTACATAAACATTTATGTTGTCTTCATTTTAACAATGAGTTTGCACTTTACACCCTAAAGAAGCAAACTTTTCACAAAAACTGTGCAGTCAGTGTGTGGAGCACAAGAGAGGGAGTGAATTCGATTTCAACCACAATATTGGTGGTTTTTGCTAAAAAAATGTTAAGCAGGAAATTAATTGTGTAAAACTTTTTTGGTTTGTAAAATAAATTGATTCAGTACATCATTAAGTGGTAGAATGCTCACCGACCACATAGGAAGTCTGGGTTTTGATTCCCGACGAACGTACTCCTAATCATCGTCTTGTTTCCTAGGTAGTAGTGTGGTGAGAGCAGGCTGCTAGCCGATTGGTTGACACTAATCTACGTTAATGTCTAACTCACTAATATGGGCCGTGAGAAAATATGAACAAGGCTGTTTCAGCAACCAGTCACGAAAAGACGGGGTCATGTATATACCATCCGAAGAGGTGATAAACAGAAACGAGTTAACGCCAGTCAGCTCCAAAGATGGGTACAGTGGGACAAGCCGATCAGTAACAATCCTCAACTAGAGGATGTAGCACCCAGAAGGTCGGAACGTCTGCGCACAAAGCTATTTGACGGGGGACGAGTGTGGTGAGAGCAGGCTGCTAGCCGATTGGTTGACACTAATCTACGTTAATGTCTAGGTCACTAATATGGGCCGTGAGAAAATATGAACAAGGCTGTTTCAACAACCAATCACAGCAAACTTAAACGTGGACAAATATGATTCGCAGATAGATGGCTCTACTTTCCGATAAATATCGAAAACAACCAATCACAAGACTGTGTTTGTCTGCCTAACTTCTGATAAACAACCAATCAGAAGACTGCCTTTTTCTGCTTGCATAAGCCTTATTAATGTACATAAAATATATATAAATACGTGTTGATTTTCGTAATAAAACCATCTGTTGCCAGCCCTAGTCTTCTGTTGTTACAGTAGTAAGTGTGCAAAAGAGGAAAGGTTGGGTAAAGCCCTCTCGTGAAAAGAAGAACACTACCACTAGTGAAACTCTCAAGACTTGAAGCTGCAAGTTGCACTCGGAACGCAAACAGTGGAAAACAAACATGCTGATAAAATAATTTTTATTTTTTTTTGGTTACTGCTTGATTCTACACCATATTTTTTGGTACAGGTATGGAATTTTCAGCATGTGATATTGGTAGCTTGAATTTGCAGGCCGACCATAGATATCAGCTGTGCGTCGGTAGGGGATCGAACCCCAGGCCATGTGCATGGTCGGCAAGAGTCCTAACCTCTGTGCCACCGACGTGTCTTAGCCAGTGAATTAGTTGCATTAACTGGTGGCATATACTGTCAACATACTTCTGATTTTTAGGCAACATAAGACTATTTGAATCAAATGAAACAAAAATACAGAGTTAACTTTATTAAAAGAATTAAAGCTTAAATATTGTCACCTACCGCATAATCAATAAATAGTTGCTGAATCATACTGAGCTGTTTCTCCAATAAGGTCATTTCCTCAAATTTTTTACTGAATTTTTCATTTGTTTCATACCATAAGCTCTGATTATACACAAATGTTTAAAAAAAAGAGACCAATTATAGCGAAAATACTAAATTAATACAAAATGTTTGTGCACAACAAAAATAGGTTAGTAGTTAAAGCGTTTACCTATTCGCGCAGCAATAGAAACAGTTTTAAACTAGTGAGTAACTGTGTTCAGTGAGCACGATGAGCTGTGTGTTCCAATGATGGGTCTTAAAATAGAAGAAAAATAATATCCATCCTATCTGGGCAACACTGAAGAACATCAAAGAATGGATTTTGAATGAGTTTGCAGTAAGAAGTACTAACATTGATATAAGTATAAAACTTGGGCACTGTGGTAGAGTATAACTCCATTATGGATAAGATTTTATTGTGATAAATCACAGTGTTGTACACTAATATTATCTGATCTGTTAATATCACTGTACAACACTGTGTGTGATTTATCAAAATAAAATCTTATCGATAATGGAAAAGTACTAACACCTTCGCAAGCAGGTCTTATAGAAAAGCTTGTATCCCATCAAGCAGCCTTTGTCTTGTCTACCATCACAAGACAGTAACTGAAAATTTACTGGATTAATTATGAAATAAAACTCTAGGATATTTCATTTAGAAGTAATTGGGAATACAAAGAAATACGGATATATGAGCATTCATATATTTTATGATATATATCGTCAGTTTCAACAACAGATGGAACGTATAAGGATGCCATAGCTAGCCAGGATTGGGAAAGCAAGACAGGTACTTGTTCCTCTGAAGTCAGTGTAGAGATCTAAAATACTTAGCACATGAAATAATGATTCTGATTCTTAGCATTTATATCAAGTTAGCGCCTATTTCTCATTGTGAAACTTGGCACGTGTACCACCAAAATCACTTCCAGCACTCTACAGACTTTCATCAACATGTGTGTGCACCCGGTACTGAAGATTAGATGGCTGTCCAGGTTACACCAGGTCCTTAAATGGAACATACATGGAAAGAGGTGGGTTAGTCGTTTGATGGTGAGATAAAGATTACATGAGGAAGAAGTGAAAGCTTGTACACAGCCGTCGAGCCAGGTGAAAGTGATGACGAGAACTGAAAGTCACTGAGATGTTCCATTTAACCCATATTTTCCGCTTGGGATGCAAGAAATGAAAATAGTAGTAATAGTAGTGTAGTTTTGCGCCATATGAATCAGCTTACGTAGACAGAGAAGGAGGAAAGAATGGGATTGAATCCGGGAAGTGCCGGTAAGTATAAATTTTCCATTTGAAAGTACTGTTGATGTTCTTGGACCACTTGATGGCACACATTTTCCCCTTTCACACTTAACTGCGACTGGATGAGGCACACACATATTCCATGATGGCAACAACTTACAGCTTTTGCCAACGATAAAAGCATTCAATGTACGTTATATCTTTTTAAAGTGAAAACAAATGTTCAAAGTTCAAAAACTTGGCAGATGACGGTGGTAATATTGAAGAGGTGAGAGAGTGAGAGGAAAAGAAAGAATCTACTCAATTTAAATTATTTTGGTGTTAATACTGTTGTTACTTAAATTCATAATCATCATGGACCGCAAGTGCACTCTATGAAGATAAGCAGAGTGAGTTAACCAGTGTTATCAGTAAAGATCACTAATAAACAACATGGCCAGTGACATGTATTACTGGTTAAATCGGTTTAACTACTGTAATGTTAAATACTTTCAATTTAAGAATTCCTTTTTGTATACCGATGAACTTTGTAAACTGGAATGAAGTAAGAGAATCCATGACAGCAGAATAAAGTACTAAGCCTTTTTACAGGTAACTATAGTTTCATCACTAGGTGACATTTGTTTAGCACCCAACCTCAAGATCAGAGGTCTGATGAATTTTTGGATAAATGTCTCTATTAGTTGTTTCCGTGGAAAGTAACTTTCATATTCTTAAGAAACCTAGCAGCTAGTGGAGGTGAAATTATTTCCCCTCATCCAGAAAAGCAAACACACATGCAAACATATGAGAAAAAAAACTAACTTACCTGCAGATTTAACAAATCTTCAAGTCGATCAGACGAATCACTGTTACCACATGTGACAATTAAATCCCTTAATCGTGTTTCTAGGTACAATCTTTGTTGTGCAAATAACTGACGCAGATAACGATGCAGTGTAAATTAAACAGAGAAAAAGAAAACAGAAAGTAAAACCACCAATTAAAACAATATTGAAACAACCCTGAAAGTCAGGCTTAGAAATTATGATGAATTAATAACTACAAAAAGGAAGATAGCGGAAAAGAAAAACCAAATGACAAAAACTAAAATTTTAACCATATATAGTAGGAGAACACCTTTTACATTTTACACCATAGTATTTATTTATATGTACTTTTTATATGATATATACATATATATGTAAATATATTTATATGCGTATATATGTAGGCATAAAGGCGATAAAATAAATCTTTGTAATTATACTACGTATATATATATTTGCAGTAGATATTCCAATCAAGAGTCATATGCCAACGCAATCACACCAAAAAACAGTATGAGCAAAAAATTTATGCGATGCAATCTATAGTACTGATTACAGTCAGAAGTAGTTAAGCTAAATAATCAGCAGTTTTCAAAAGAAAACAGAAAGTTGAAGAATGATTTTGCAGGCAGTATAGGTTGAAACTTGACATATAAATTGTATTTAAACATACAATTATACCAATAAATACATTTACAAATATATGTATATACACGTATATGTATACCATCATTAACAGTTAATGCCTAAACAGATATCCTGGTCAGTTGAACAAATCAAACGAGACACAAACGAATTATTTTGCTATACTCAGACAGACCTTACAGTGAATATTTTTACCAGTCTAGAGGACAAAACCTAGCCACAGCATAAATATATATCCTCATATCAACTGCTGTAAACTCTACTAATGTATAAACACCTATCAACAACTGTGTTTACCAAGTTGCAAGAGTGCAATAATGACCATTAGATTAACTTCCTTTTTATTTAGAATGTGACAGCCACAAGTGAATCTAATTTAATTAATGAAAAATCATGGATAACTTGTAGAGTATCTAGTGATTCTCTTGAAGTTTTGAATACAGCGCATTTCCTTTTAGATTTTTCCCACCAGTTTTTCTCTATGAATGTTAGGCATATGAATAGAATCGTCAACATTCCTATGAAACAGTTAAACATTTAACCCTAGTCACTGTATCATTTGGCAGTGTACTGGTTATTTATTCATATAGGGCCAATAAAATAGATACACTGTAGCTATTCACACTTCACCTGTTTCACATACAGTAGTTAAGATGGTTGCAAAATGAGGGCAGAGATAGGTTATCTCATCTAGTTCAAATGAAAATAAAACGGAGCTAAGTGTTTTGATCTTTGAGAAGAACAATTCATCAATTAAGGCTTCAGTCATCTCATAGAAGTGAGTTGGCCAACATGATTTGATTTTTGATTGACAGCTTGATTCCACACTGTATTTTTGGTACAAATATGGAATTTTCAGCATGGATAGCGGTAGGCCAAATTTTTCAGACCGACCATAGATATCAGGTGTGCGTCAGCAGGGAATCAAATCTCGAGCCATGTGTATGGTCGGCGAGAGTCCTAACCACTGTGCCACCGACGCACGTGTCATTCGAACCTTTATGCTAAAATGCCGGTGAATAGTAGGAGATAACCATAATCATCAAAGGAATGCTGTTAAGCTGCTACCTTAAAGTTCATCTGTATTATACACCTAACGGTAACACATATGTTTAGCGTTTTCACTGGCAATTAATACTGCCTTAGCTTCATATCACAACTATATTTCGACGTTGAATTGAATTATTTTAAGTATTTTCTGTAACTCACACTTTCAGTTGATCAAACAAGGCTGCCATGAGTGATCTTATTAACTGCTGTTAGTGAAGCAGAAGTATTTGCATGAATGTCATCGTCACACTGTATGCATTTTGAAAATGAGAGTCAGACTAAACAGTGAGTGACAGTTTCCCGTCTACCAGAGGATCTCTGAAATACAATATAAATTACAAATATTATTCTTTAAGTTAATTTGCATTTTCAGATGACAGATTACATTGGATTAGACGCTCGGTCTCTGTTAACATGTCGACTCCTAGTACAGACGCTTTGATGATGCCTGAAAATTATTATGACATTGTCATCTTAAAAAAACAATAACTGATAACCACTGCACAAGTGCCCTGGTGGATAACGTTTTGAAACTTTTGAAACTTCGGCCTATGAGTTCGATCCTTAGTGGAAACACCATCACTCATTAGGGTTGTATCTACATATAGGTGACGATTCCTGAATAGGATGAAGAAATGTGCTTCCTGGATTCTACCGCTTCTCACTACTAAGCAAAACAGATTCTAGAGGGTTTCTGAAGGTTTTCATTCATAAATTCACTGACTAATTTCACCCAGTCTATGATGATTGATTCAATTTTGTGTACGTTTTGTGAAAAAATATTTTTTATGCAGAGATTTCATTTTTCGTAGGTTTGCCAAAAACGTTTTTGGCTTACAAACAGTTTCCTTCAAAGACTTGTTAGAATTTTTAACATTTTCGAACACCCTTTGTACCTTCATGACAATCAACTGTTTGCGAAGAATTTTATAAGTTTTATACATATTTATACTGTCATTCAAGTTAACTGTTAACGGAAGTTAGAAAGTCCGAACGATTGAACTTGAGTCAAGCGGATGGATTTTGCTGCTCAGTCGTTTCAAGACTTAATATACAAGTGACAGTGAACCTTATGTACTTATTGGCATTCTGAGGTTATTCGTAGAATGGCTAGATACAACCTTTCTCTGTGAGCTTAGTGGTTTTTGCTCGCAACTGGTTATATGACAGGATAAAGTGATTACTAAAGATATTTACATGCAATTTTACCGACTTGCCTGTTGTCTAATATAATGAGGATGCTGATAAATAAGACTGTGACACCACCATTGTAAATGACAGTGCTATTCTATCCTATGAATACCTATATTAAAATTTCCAAATCGATTTATTAGCATAACAAGATAGCTAGACTAATACAGTTGTACAAAAATGAATAACCAAACAGGCTAGCAGTTGCGCTATATCGGGAATTGGCAGAAGTTAGAACTCAAGGGATGGCCATTGGATCGGGTCCCAGTGGCTTAATGGTATACGAGCTCGCCTTGTAACCAGAATGTCCTGGGTTCGAACACCGGTGGATGCGTACTGATGAAGAGTCCCAAACCAGGACATTGGAAACAGCTGTTCAGTACTCCCAGGTTTTCCAATGGTTCTCTCACCAATGTCAGCTCATGATGAAATCCTGTGGATAGTGTGCGCCTAATGTCGTTTTAATTTGATTACTCACTATCGACCATTTCGTACACGAAGATACTGGTCCTAACGACAACAGTAATAATAATGACTATTATTATTATTATCAATATTATCATAAAAAGGGTAGCTGGAAATAACCACAGACAATGCCAAACTGGAGCAGAAATCAAAAATCACACGACCAGAACTCAGAACTAAAATCACAACATTTCGAAAATAAACAAAAAAGAAACATATAGGCTGACACACAGAGAGCGCGCGCAGACAAAAAAGTAATAAATAGCTGCAGAGCTCTGTTATACAATAGATACAAGAAAAGATATCTATATATATATGTAAATATAAACAGATTCACAGGTGGAGGGAGAAAAAACAAACATTCCTTCCACCTCATGGACATTGTATCGATCTCCCGCGGTTTGCAAACAAACACACAAACACGCATACACGCCTACAGACAAACACTCACTTACAGATTGTGTAAATTTGAAATACGTCTGGTAGAAATAGAATAAATGAATCAATATTTGTGTGAAAACATTTCCATAAAGATTTTAAACATACAGAATATGACTACTGCCTAGAGTACTTACTATAAAGCAAAATAGTGAAAACCACTGAAATTCAATATTTGAATGACTGTAAAATGATACTATTTTGCATTAGAATTGAAAGTATTAGCATGCTAGGTCACTAACTAACTTACTGGTATGAAGCATGGGTGAATGGATGAGAATGATCAATAAGGAAGTAGAACTAGTCTAAATACTAGACAAATAAACTCATGATATCTGTGGTTTGCAGAAAGGTACTGATCGCAGTGGAGGTTGAAAAACTCTTATTTTAATTAACTTCGCATTCGGCAGCATGTTATGATTAGCATGAATACCAGCGTATACCATTCAGCTCATAGAATGTGTAAACATGTCTCAGGAAGATGTGACACGTTTATATTACAATTTTAAAGCCATATATATAAAAACAACTAATTTATAAACAGGTGAAGTGTTTAGATTAGTTCGAATTTCCCGTTAATTGATAATATCCGACAGAAACGCCCTTTCAGTACCAATGGAGTCCAGGAATCTCATTTCGTTTTATTTTTGACTAGTCAAATCGATGTATCTGCTTTCTAAGCGGGTGATGGTGATGGTGAGATTAGAACCGAGTGACCATCCGGCTTTGATATTTGAAATGGTGGGTGGTGGGGTTCGAGTCTCAATGGGAAAACCACTGGGGATGTGGGCACATTCAACTGATAAGTACTAAATAGGATGACATGCACAGCCTAGATCATATCGGTAGTCACCAATAACGAAATTGTAATAACCTTATCTAGTGGCCTTAAATGGTTACTTCAAGGTGATTTTCCTATAAGCATTTCGTATCGGATATCGTAGAAGAAATTAAGAACACCTTGAATTGTGTGTGTAAAAATGTTCTGAAAAAGTGTTCACATTGTTTTGATCCTTTTATATGTATTTTATGACTCTTCTATTATAAACCATTATAGTAGATATTTTCTTAAATAGCGTCTTTTTTGGCATTTAAAACTAATCTAGGTGAAACCAGGATTTCTTGAGCTTAAACAGACACTGTGAAATTCGCTCTGTGGTCCATAAGAAGCTGGTAAATACAAAAATCAAAGTGGTAGTTATTGTGCTTCATAGAACGAAAAACTGATTTTAACGCGATAGTAACGATTCTGAAATAGCCTGTAATAAATCAACTTTCATAAAAACAATTAACAGTACATTATTTCCAAAGGGCTACATCCGCCACCTACCTGTAACAAGGTTTTTCTTTCAGATATTGACGTTTCTAAGATAACCTTCTGTGATGAAAAATACTCATCATTTGTGTCTGAAGGTAATTGCATACTGGATCCCAAACAATAATGATTAAAACTCAAGATTCCATTGAAATGTATGCGTATTTCACAGGCTAAATTTCTTACTGTTGAGGATATTTGGCTGTCAGATTTCAGAAGATTATCAGTTAATCGATTAATTGATAACAAGTTATCATGTGAAGATTTCTTCAACATAGCGTCTGAGTAGACTTCAATCTGAAGGTAGAAAATAAAGGCGAGAGAAAGAAAATGTTTGTCATAGATCATTTTTGCTTTCTACTATTTTAACAGTTATATATTTAGAGAAATTAGGAGGTGAAATGTCGTTTGTTCCCCGGTGATACATTGAATTATTGATATTCTGATATTCGTATACTTTGTTTTCCCAATTTATCCCACAGGACTTTCATACACGTGTCACTTGAACGTATGCTTTCGCTCCTTAACAATGCAACGCAACTGATGCAATCTTACAAATAGAAAGGATTCTTTTAATTTCAAAGGCTTAACTTTTAATTAACCGCATAGAAGGTATCGTGGATATTACTTATATTTTCAACCAGATTAGTCATTTATAAAAAAATCAGTTTAATACTCGCTAAAATCGGTCTGTTAATCACACCTGTGACACAAGGTAGGTTGCATGAACAAGACACGCGTGAGTATATAAGAAATCACCACAACAAACTTGTCCCCTTTACGTTTCCACGCTTTGAATAGAATAGAATAGAATAGAATAGAGACAAGGAATAACAGCTTGGATTTTCTCTGGCTTTCATGGTTGTGCACAGTCTAATGTGCTTTTGTATTATATGTTTAATAGGATGCCATCATCATTTCAAATGTTACGTCCGCCTGTTTTAAAAGTGTTTCGTCTATCGCTCACACAACTATTGTACTGTTTTCAAGTATTGGTTCATAGGGATTAGATCGATTGATTACAGAATTTCATCATGAGCTGACATCAGTTAGAGATCCATTCGAAAACCTGAGAGTACTGGACAGCTGTTTCGTCGACCTAGTTTGGGACTCTTCATCAGTACGCACCCACCGGGGTTCGAACACAGGACCTTATGGTTACAAGGCGAGCTTCTAGACCAGTGAGTCACTGGGACCCTATCCAATGGCCAACCCGTGAATTCTAACTTCTGCCAACTCACGATATAGCGCAACCGCTGGCCAATGTCTTCGGCGACTATTTGTCCTCGCACCAGACCTGCTGCACCCCATCCACTAGAACCCTAGGTAACTACCTACCTGAATAGGACCAGTCGTCAGTGAGCATCTCATCGATATTCAAGTATTGGTTTGTAGGGATTCAATTGATTGGTTACAGGATTTCATCATGAGCTGACATTGGTTAGATAACTGTTTGCTAAACTTTGCGCGACAACCCCTTGAGATTACTTTTGTGCTCACCGCTAAACGTCAGTTAGCCATTTTAAAAATATGATTTTTAACCATATTAATTGACACAGTTCAAATTAGTAACGTTTATAAAAACAAATGTTAATTTGTTTCCTAAATGTGCAAATACACTGTAATAAGCTGTATAGCTTTCGTATTCCTTCAAATTTATAGAGGAGACCTGACATCTTACACCTCAATAGGATAGATGACATTTGAAATGTTTTATTCAAATCCACTTAATCAATGCTTCCGACTAGAAAACTAAACACTAAATCACATGTCTGCAAAAACATGATGCCTGTGAAACACTCACAGACATAAATATACTCATTTTGACACTTACCGAGAGTTTATCAATAAATTCTGGTGTAGAGATATCTCTCAATTTCAGCTGATTTGTTGTGGTAGTATCAAATAGTTCATCTTGTTTTGTGTCTTTTTCTGCTTCTTCTATCTGTGATTGAAAGATTTCTTTAGCCATAATAACTTTGCGCAAATGATCTTCAATTTCATTGAACAAATCAACAGTTAATTCTGGTTTGTCTGCTGGCGTCAATGATCGTAGTTTACTTGCTACTTGTCGAATTTGCCAGACTGTACCATTCTCTTGGCATAATCGTGTTAATTTCATATAAATTTTCTAAAGCAAAATAGAAGCATTCAACTTAAACTGCATGTGTGCGTTGAGACAGCATTCAGTATTAAAACAGAATCATTGAACACCGATGAAGAACTATTTAGCCTTAAATTAGTAGGATGTCTTAACATCTATGATTCTCTTAATCAGGAATACAAACAGATGTCTGCTTACAAGTTGTGATGAAAATAAATTAGCTGTAATTTTAGCACTGTTGTTAATATTATTGAGTAGCATGATATTCGAGCAGCATTATCCACCGTATAGTCGATTTTAACGTGTTTGTATCCTGACATATTCGTCCACAGAACATACTCTGGAACATTATGTGCAGGATGACAGCATTCAAATGTTCGGTAACAGAACGTCTCGTGAACTCAAAACATTCAATTCCACTTGAGAAGTCCTGGAAACTCGTAAACAAGAACCAATCGAAACTCTTAAAGGGAGTGAGACGAAGATATCCCAAGCACTAGTGACCCGAAAATTCAAGCCAGTACTATATATCCAAAAGAAGTACGCTCACCTTCGGCCTTTACCATGGTCATCATAAACAGTGTAGTTACTCGGAGGAACCATTATTATTTGAATGTGATTTATTGGAACTACCTGTTTATTTTTAATTGCCTATTTGTAGTAGCCAATTTCATGCTGCTATCTGTTATCTTCTGATCTACGACGGGAAGTAGTTCTAGAACTTTCGCACCACTCATTTATCTGTTCACGAATGAACAGCTCAACTGTGGACCTCACCGAAAGGAAAAAGTGTTTTCTCTTCTGCGATCGTCTTTTTGTCATATTTATTTGAAAGAAGAGAACACGAAGTTCAGCAAAGATATCTTTTCGGCGATTTCATTCTCAAAAGCTGTACAATCGCATTTATATAGATTATTTTAACATGGATTGAATTCAACTGTTGCTGGTGCACGGTTAGTTCAGTTATACATTACTGTCCAGCTAGGCATTTGGTGCGGGTTCGATCTCCGAGAGACCCATTCCCAATCCTCGCTCAGTCGGTAGTAAGCCTGGTAAAGATGGAAGGTTGGACGCGAGGCTAACAATACCACATCGTGGAAAAAACACCACCGCTGGTGAAACATCAAACCTCCCATCTAAACCCAAAATTTTCCAATCAATGAAAGGAAAATTAAAAAATGCAATAACCACAGAATATTCCATGATGAGATTGCATTATTTCAATATCATAGGAGATAATTTTTCAAATTCCATATAAACGTGCTATATAACTAATTCTTTATCAAAATTTGGGCACTGTGGTGGAAAAGACTATGAAGAATGAATTGTGCTCAAAACCTGATCCATTTATCAATGCTATATCACTGTGTGTTATATAAAATGAACTTATCTAATAAGGAAGAATACTGGGTCATAAAGTAAAACTAAGGACAAAATGACTCCAGTGTCACATACATTTTTAATAACACCTACCTGTAATAAATCTTTTCTTGAAATTGGACAGTCTGCTGTTTCTAGGTAGTCAGTTACTTCCTCAACACTCAGCAAATTGTCGTTTATTTGTGACATTAAACTTTCCAATTCTTCGATCAGTGGTAAAGCTTTATCTAAACGTTCCAAAGCTGATAGGATTCGCATAACCAATTGATTGTGTTTATCAGACAGCATACTTAATTCGTTGTTTGCCTTTGCTGTTAGCACACTTGTCTCATCGTCATATATAGAATCCCCATTATCCATTATGTTCAGTAAATCAGTTTTTAGTTCATTCAGTGCTGCAAGCATTGTCTACAACATTTATATGTGTAAATATACAGGAACAAGAAGCAATTAAATATTTCAAATGAATGGGATACATAGGCAAAAGCTGCGCTACAATCAAAATTTTCTCATTAATTTCCCCTGATACAGGTGTTGAAGCACACATGAACTTACTAGTCAGTGTATTTCCAAGTAAGAAAAAGAACACTTGAATTACAGAAACAAAATGTATGACCACAATTCATCCCGGTGCAGTTATGGACAATAAATTATGCTCTGAACCTAGTTCAGTAAACAGTGTTGTGTCTAATTTGAGTATCCGCATAATTTATTCAAATCAAGAATAACTTCTTCATGATCTACATTTATTAAACTATCAACTCTAGAATACAATAGCTACAAGTATAACAAGTAGTATACTGTGGTAGACTTACAAGATGGAATAATGATGGGACAGTTTTGGATGTCACTGAAATTCACACGAAATGTACGGTCAAAGAGATAAGACAACCGAAGTTGAGTAACTGAATGACCCGTGTGTCAGTTTAATACGAACAAAGCAACAGATCTGAATTGGTAAGTAGAGGACAGTGGTGTGTGAGACAATACGAATTCGAAAAACGAGTGAGATACACATAAAATTCAAAAAAAAAAATAAGGAGCTTACTCTTCCACTATTGACTGCTGCTTTAATATCCTCTGGGTCTACAGAGATAACATCCAGTGTACAAATTTTACTTTCTATTTGCTTTATTTCCATGCACAGCTTATTTAAACGTGCTTGATGGTCAGATGAACTGGATAACTGTGACATTAGCCTACTTAAAGGCGCAACACGTTCCTTTAGGGAAAAAAAATTTGAGATTTCAAAAATATTAATTTAAACTGTAAAATGAATTATCAAAGATTTGTTAATATAATTAATGTCTATATGATACAATGTTAAAAGTGAAGCATACTATCTCGTTATAGTTGTTATCCCAGTATGGCTTCCAGACGCCTGACTTTCATATCACTCTACTTACTCCGGAGGGTAGACCGATTCACCAGTTAGCACAAAAGTATTAATAGTCACAGTATTAAAGCTTTGTACATACTGTGATTGGACTTAGTTATCTCTTATTTTACTGTACTACAGGTACCTGTTGTATGATAGTATAAATTAGTAACATCAATCTGACTGAAGAATCAAGCATTTCACTTATGACACTAGAATAGGATAGGATAGCATGACAAATAATTCACTCTATCAGTTTGGAACAGATAAGTGAGGGGACAAAGAAGGATCCATCTTCAGCAGATTATTTAGCGTAAATCATCACCACTGTCATATTTTTATGTGCTCTCACGGTGAAGTAGAGGTACTGTTTTTAACGGGGCGGGGTCGCTAGACCCCCGACATACCTTTGGTCTTTTGCGGATTTAGGACCGCCTAGAAAATTAGACTAGGTTTAAGACGACAGCGATCACCGGGAATCGAATCCAAACCTCCTAAATGTTTGTGGAGCACCACCAATAAACGTCATTTCCAGCAACAAACGAAACTCATCAGTGGCGTAGAGAAAAGCAGATAGATTATTTCATGTTTATTCACGAACTGGTAATCACCACATAATTTTCATAAGTTTCACTAAATGTCCTCATAATTAAATACTTGCAAAGCGTTAGTGCTATTCAGCTTTAGATGTTTTGTGCATTTCTTAACTTAAACAAAGCTAATGTCACCCTTTGCCAGACAGAGAAAATTTTAAATTGCTGATAGCAATCACACTGTTTTTGGTTAAGATGATTACGACTATGCATATAATCTTACCTGAAGCTGGGCTTTATATGCCTTTAAACGACGAACCAGGCATTCATTTTCTGGCTCTAATGATTTAAACTTAATATTTTCATCCATTTCTTTAATTAAATTATTTGTATTCTTTATATGCATTTGCCATTTATCCGATAATACAACAATATCACTGTCGAAATGTCCATTGTTCAAGCAATTTTCAATATCATTTTCAATGTTTAGTAGATTACTTTCATTTTCTATAACACGATCTTCAAATGAGCGTAACTGACTGAGGAGTCCTTTAAGATAAGTTGTCGTTGAATTAATCTAAAATCGATAAAAGCCAATAAAGAGGAATTAGTTTCTCCTACAACTCAGTGTGTTGAACTCCAAAATATGTAATGCGTTTTGCTGATACATTTTTTCAGAAAATAAATACTTTTTTCCACTTATATTTGAGATGACTAATTTGACGTCTGTGTTGTAAGTGACAGTTAGCCAGTGACTCTTGTGAAACTGCTTATCGTGAAGATTAGTTAGACTGATCGATAGCTACCAGCTTGTAGGCAAACTAATAAAAGCATTTATTAGAGTTGTGGGATATTCAGTTTCCGAGCACCAGTCATTTCACACGGCGACGTTTTCTACGAAACATTTTTAAACTCAGAGTAACGGTTATGTAGCGAAATGTTTTTGCTATTTAAAAATAAGTTTGTTTATTCTATAAGATATTGGTACGACAAATAAAGCGAACGCAAGATAAGTTCTAGGGAGAATCCCTGAAATAATGCAGCTTAGAAGTTTTACGGCCGAAGAGCTTCAAAATTTGCAACGTTTTTTTTTTGTAAACCTGAGTAAGTTGTTCAATTAAAGTCACTGTGACTTAGACTTTGTGTTTATGTCATCATTTGATGGCGTACTTATATTCCAGCCCCGTGAAACAACGCAGATGTTTTTTTGAGTGTACATATTCCACAAACACCTCATTACTTCCAAGATTTGATATCCTGCTTCCAAACAGAAGATTCAAACTTGACTGTCTTTTTTTAAAAACTTAATTTCAGATGATACTTCTACCTTTTCATTTAGTTGGTTCGCTTTGTGATTTAATGCAGAAATCTATGTCTGTCTTTACAAACTATTCATTACTGGCAACAAATCAAAATATTTTTTGAAACTATAAGTTGGAAAACATCAAGTTTAGTGTATCGCAAAGGAAGAAAACAGTAAAAATTATGCGACCAGTGCTGATCTTATTACACAATCTTCAGCTTTTTTTCCTCCCTACAATGAGTTTTTAAAAATAAATTTCTCAGTGTATGAAAGAATATGGTTTTCTTTGGATGAAGTAATCAGTAGCGTTGCAGCTCATATTTTGACTTTATCTACAGGTGACAAGTAGTTTGATCGGAGATACACATATGAATACATGGTTCAGCAGGCCGGGTGTGAGGACAAATAGTCGCCGAAGACATTGGCTAGTGGTTGTGCTATATCGTGAATTGGCAGAAGTTAGAATTCACGGGCTGGCCATTGGATCGGGTCCCAGTGGCTTAATGGTATACGAGCTCGCCTTGTAACCAGAAGGTCCTGGGTTCGAACCCCGGTGGGTGCGTACTGCTGAAGAGTTCCAAATTAGGCTGACCAAACAGCTGTTCAGTACTCCCTAGTTTTCCAATGGTTCTCTAACCAATGTCAGCTCATGATGAAATCCTGTAATCACTTATTAAGTGCCAAACAATATATTTTTTTCTAAATATCTACCGAATTCCGCTGATAATTACAACTTAATATACGCAATATTAAGCATTCTTGTAGAGGATACATAATAATAACAACAATAGTAATTACTTTGATATCTGTACAAGTGTAACTCACTTCAACTTTAATTAAGGTTAATTCTGTTTTATACTTTTCAAGTTCTTTGAGTATTACACTCCCCATAACACGTGATTCATTTAATGAATTGGCCAGTTTATTCAATCGTTCTTCATCATCAATTGTATGCTCTCGTGACAGTCTGTCAACTGACTACAAAATGAGCAGATTGATAGAAATTCATGTAAGACTGATAGCAAATAGCAAAATACTTCGAACAGTTATCCGTGTAAATCAGCTGTTAGAACAAATTGCACAACGGCTGATTTGAGAAAAAAGCACACACATGAAAGTAGATACGCTTCAGTGAAGTTTATTTACATCTAAGAGATTATTATATTAGTTTGTAAATGTTGTTTTGCCATACCTACATTCTTTCAAAACTATTCAGAACACAGTGCTTTGTTTAGTCTAGGCGAAGAAACTGGAGTAAGTAAACAACTTGAGCATTATGAAAATACACTGATCATCAATCAATAAAATTAATTCACTTTCAGTTAATTCTTATAATAATTTTATTCATTTCTTCACGAAAATAGTTGTTTTTTTTCAAGTAAACTTTAGCGTAGTGATTTTTTTTAAATTCTTGCTATGAGTGGGCTTTTAATGCATGTCTCGTACATATCTGTCTTCTTGAACAAATTGTTAAGCTTAACAATGGCTTATTTTAAGCACGATAAAACAATCATTGACGCAGACAGTGATTATACCTTGTCATGAATTTTACTGAAATTCATAGTAGTATTTCTGTCAGAATAAGCTTAACTGCAAAATCTCGAACTTTATCCATATCTGAGTAAGCTAGACAAGATTGAAAGGATCGCCTCAGAGTCTCACTCTCCCCAAAAACCAACTGGATTTCAACCAATAGAGCTGGTTCAACTCTAACATAAATTTTAACTAGGTAACTCTTCACCTTTTATTATTTGTCTGGTTGTTTTTACCATAATCTATCATACCAGGTGTTTAAGTGTATAGGTGTCTTGGCAAAGTTGGACTTACTTCTAAGTCATCAGCGATCTCACTAAGGTCAGAATAGTTACTACCTTTAATACGATCATTTATTGTACGAACAGTTTCAAACCATCGTTTTTCACTATTTAATACAGCTGTAGTTCAAAACAAAAAAAAGAGAATATAAAGAAATTTAGAAAAATTTAAAACTGCCACAGTCATCATTACAAATATTGTGACTATATGCTGAATGAAGATTTAAAAAAGACAAATATAGCTAAGCAGGTACAACATCTCAAGGCTCTTCGACCTTTATTATTCGTGATAAAATCAACAGACGATCGTGTAAACCAAAAGTCCATTACAGTTATTAAATTTATAATACTGATGAATTTTAGCTGTATGTTCAACCAACAAAATTGTCGGCATATATTTTATAACTCTTCTTTGAAATGCTAAAATGGTGCTTTTAACTACGTTGAAAGAGGATTTCGGATGACACAACACAAAGTAAAACAGCCGTTTAAATAGTCACTAAATAAAATCATGGATTGACAGAGCTTGGGAAACATTGGCCAAAGGGTTCAAATTGACATTTGTAAATGGCTGGTTACTCCCAGATTGGTCTGATAGTTCATACGTCGAACCGGAATTTGGTTGAGCGCTTTAAATGGTTGAAGAATCCCCAAATATAGAGAAACGTCAACCCACTAATGTTTGTTATTAACCAACTTCTTAACTGCCTTTAGTACATTTTTGGTAATTTACTTTAAAAACAGTTCTGCATAATCACCATAACAGGAAGGCTTATAATAAAGAAGATAGTCTAGTGTACGTCATAACTATTTAGACTGAGCTAAAAAGCTGATGCTATGACAATGACGATTATTGGCAGTCTGGCATTTTAGGAACCAGCTATCAACTTCCATTCTCATGTATTTTAGGGAACTGGTGAGTGGCATTGAAAATAAAGCTATTCGTAATTATATCGGTTTTATTGAACCGTCGCATCACTGTACTCAAATAGATGACTGTCCCTCATTAATCATTCACTTCTACTGGTTATTATTTTAAATTTTTAAGTGATTCCATGAGAGAACAAACAATTCGCAAAAGTGCTAAATGTTGAACTTTCAATTACAAAGTCGAAAGACACAATACACTGAACTGACACTACCGTCACTAGAAACTTAAACCGTTGGAAATCCCACTGTCATACAACGGCGTAATACTTCTATAAATAGGAATATTAATGAGAATTAAAAGGCAAGCATAGCAAGTTTAACAAACACATACTTTTAAAGTCATCTAAGTGATAAACTGCTGCCATTAAACGTTCTCTTTCAGCTGCGACAGCGGACTCCAAATCGGCAAAATGTGCTTTTGTCAACAAAGCGTCAGTATCTAGAATTGACTGACCCTTTAAATTGACTGCATTGCATGTGTCGATTGCAGCTAAAACAGGTCGATTCTCCGTAATTTTATCACCGATCACCTAGTAAAGCAAGAAGAATAATTAATTTCCATTATGACAATCACTGAAATGCTTTGGTGAAACTTGTTTTTTTTAATTTCAGCTTGATTCCACACCTTATTTTTTGGTACAGGTGTGGAATTTTCAGCATGTGATATCGGTAGCCCAAATTTTGCAGGCCGGCCATTGTTCCTTACATTGGTAAAATGGTGAAAACTGTTGTCAGCCATTCTTCAGTTTTACTTTGCTACCGTAGTTCTATTCCATAAAACGGTAGGTTAACGGGTAAGCATGGAGTAACAGAACATAAATGTTGATTAAGTGGACGAAAAGTAACAAGAGGTTAAATCAGTACTTAATTTTAGTAGGTGAATTAGTTGAGCACTGATTACTGAAATCGAAGGTTGAAATTTTTAAAAGGCATCATAAAAGACAGAGATCCATTAATTGATTCATTACAAAATAAGTTATCTACTGACTACTGATGATTATATCACTACTTTTGACTGACTACTTGTTGCATAATGAACAGTTGGTGACAATGTTATCCCACTTATCTCATCTGTATGTAGATGATGTATAATTCACCTGGGAAACAGAGGTCTTAAACTTAGTCAGTTATTTCAGTAGGCCTTTAGCTTTGTATCTGACATAGTTGCATTTTCCTGGATGGATGGTTTAATTGAGAAGCCTTTGTTGTCCTACTAGAAAGCACCCCCCAGAGCAGACTTCCAAAAGGTCACTTCATATTGAAATAAGAGCTAATTATAAAAAGGTTCTAAATGTCAGCATGATTTATAAAACTGTTGTATTATGTTTTAAATAACAGAAACTATTATTGCAGACACTGACGCCTACCTTGATAACATTCTCCAGTTTCTTCAAATCTCCTGGATCACTTATAACTGCAAAGTGGGATAATTGGTCTTTGGACTGAAGCATCCAGTCTTCAAGCGCTTCTATATCCACATGTACAGTATTTGGTGCAGTGATAGTTTTGGTGGCTGGAGATAATCCTACTGGGTCAATGGCGGTCTCCGTGACCTCAGTGGTAGGTACTGATGATGAAGTATTACCATTATACCTATGATCATTACTGTCATTGTTTTTGTCCTCAGCATTATTAGTAGTAGCAGGAACGGTATTGTGATTGTCATCCGGGTCATTTTTACTCAGTGTCTCTTGATTAGCTGAGTTAGTCGACAATGGGACAGTTCCAGTAACATCTTGATTTCTGTTCACTGCAGCTGTACTGTTTGCTTCAGCTAATTTAGCCCTCAAATGATCTCTGTTGGACTTTGTCAAAGTTTTCACCTCATTCCAGTCATCGTGTAGAGATTGAAGACGATTGGTCGTCAACTGAGTTAATGAATTAATTTTTAAAAAATAAGAGAAAATTAAATCCCCATTTATTTAGAATGTAAAATAAACGGTATGATATGATCTTTTCGAATGAAATATATTTATGCTTAAATTATAAGATTGAATACTTGACTCATATATACTCGGTATATCTTTGTTGTCTTTTTAGCCAATCTGAAGCATTAGAAACACTTTCCTCATGTAAAATAGAACGCATTTTGAAGTAATAGTTAACATTTCTAACTGCAAAAGAAGTTGCATAATTATAACTCTATCTAATTCCATGGAATTCACTGCTAGCCACCACCAGCAATCAACCGACTAATATAGTGTTAGTTTGCAGATATCGTCAAAGCATCCGTACTAGTGTAACAACAGAAGACAAGGGCCAGACAACAGATCGTTTATTTAGGAAATCAACACATGACCAAATATTTGGGGACGCACATATTGACGTAAATAACTACCTACCAATTTTGGCTAACAGCCAGCTCTCACAACACTAGGAACGAAATGTTGAAAGGAACCAAGCATTTTGTTATAGTATAACTAATCAACAGGAAAAATACTAATGAATTTAACAAGTTGCAGTAGACTTTCGAAAGACGACTTCATGTATCCTGTTCACATTAGTTAGCAGTGCTGATCATTATTTTAAAGTCAGTGAATAATATTCAGATGACCTACACAGCATTTCTGTGTTTACTGACCTGATCCTACTTTCAAATTCACAGAAGTAAAGTTTTAAGGAAAGTACACTTTATGATCTCTCCTTGAATCACTTATTCAATCAGTCATCATCTCACCGATTTTTCGAGCAATAATAAACGATGCATAAATTTCTCACTAGATGAAATAATACCAATTCAATAAAAATAAGAAGTATGAAAATTCCGTCTTTTATCCCCAATCTTTCAAACTTACTTCAGCATAAGTGGGACTAAAATACTCCAACAGTCTTTGTGCCACTTCATCGACTTTTTGTAAAGTTGGTTTCAGTGTTTTCATATCATTCAAGGCTTCACAGCTCTCCTGCAATTGTGCCTGAATAACTGGAACTGACGGTAAATGGGCTCGTGATACGGAATCCAAGTAATCTGTCATATCTGCGAGCCACTTTTCAATTCCTTCAAATTGGTTCTATTTTTGAATGTAAACAAAATTGAGAGTGAATTTCAAAATCAAGCAAAATAGACTCATTTAAAAATAACTGAAATGATGGTGAACTCCCATAAATTTATACTATTTTAGTCTAGCTACTGAATTTTTTCTCTAAGTAGCCAAATCTACACACCACTTTGATTGACAGAACACACACACATTCCTTTTGTATTGTCAGGTATTAATACTTCTCACATTTATCCTTTAGTTTCAAACATTCTGATTATCAGATTTCTTTTCGCTGTTTAACTGATTTTATAATTATCTATCCAGGTTAGTAAGTTTGGCCAATCTGTAAAACAGAAATATCAAAGTTCGCTTCTTTACAGAAGTTCAATTGGTTGGAGGATTTCATAATGGGCTGATATCAGTTAGAGAACCATTGGAAAACCTGGAAGTAGTGGACAGCTTTGTTTCGTCTTAGTTTGGGAATCTTTATCAGTACGCACCCATTGGCGTTCCAACAGAGGACCTTCTGTTGAAAACATTGTAAAATCATCTGGAGGAAGCAAATTGTCCTGATCACCTACCACAAACCAGTATTTTAGTCAGTATTGTAGACCATGGCCTCTTTGTTTAGTAACTTTTATTATCAATACCTAGCATTTATACGGCGAAAAAAAGAAAAATTGAAATACGAAAAACTAAGATATTGCAAGTCCGATAAAAATATTTTCATTACTAAATTGACAGTATATGCAGGGACAAAAGGTGAATGATCACCTGGTAGTAGCTCAGTTTTAAACGCCACCCCTCCAACAATTTTCACCTTAAGTCCATGAGACTGGCAAATGATGATTCCGGATGTCACGACTTCTATGAACTCCTAGTACACCTATGTCCTTCAGCAGAAATCGAACCAATTCAGCCTCGAGAAGAGATTTAATTACAAAGACATGAATATAGTTAGTTTTCACTACAACTGGTATTACTATTCTCCAGGAGCAGGGTGAATCTAACGAACATCACAAAAAATTGTTTCAGTGCAAAACGTTTACTTTTTTAACTACTTTGACTCACCAAAAATAATTCATGTTGTTCTGATAAATCTTGTAGGAAATTAATACGTTCAGTCAAATCTGTGCAGACAGTTTCATATTGTTCTCGTAATTCTTTAACTTTTTCACTCCAACTGACACAGTCCAACTGACTTGATGAATTGACTTCTAAGCTGACTAGAAATTGTGCTGTTGCTTCAAAATCTTTCAGCATTTTCTATTGGAGTAGAAAAATTGTTTTCAATTTAATAAAGAAACTAAACACCACATCAAGATTTCATGAACCTATGAGATGTCTGAAGCGCCTTTTGATCATAAACTTAAATCAATTAAGCAACTATTGTACAGTACGAAGCTATGGACATCTTTGTTATTTAAGTTTGGATATTTTAAATCCTAAGCACTAATAACTACATACGGGGTTAGAGAGAAAGAAAGTAACAGTGATGCATCATTGCAAACACAATAAACAGGCGTTTAATTAGTGACACATCAATGACTTGTGATTTCTTCTGCTAATTTACCATGCCGTGTAAGACAGTATCAGTTGTGACTAGTTTTAAATCAATCTGTCGTAAAAGATGGAACAAAAAACTTTACACAAAACCAAATCATTTCAAGTGAAAATTTGTGTTCAGCTGAAGAATCGTGAAAAATACCCATTGGAACATTAGATTGAAAAGAACAAGAAGTTCAGCAAAGATATCTTTCCGGAGATTTCATTATCAAAAGCAGCTGTACAATCGCATTTATATAGATTAGTTTACATGGAAACAATTATTATTTGTTCAATTCCACATAGCGGAGCTAGGTGCATAGGTCGTTCTATGCAGGTATTATCAAAACGTGTTAGAGAACATAATCCAGCATGGCTGCAAAGAGGAGGCACTGGTTCAATGAGAAGTGCAATAACTGAACATCCCGTCAATATCCGTCACAGAATCTCAACTGACTCATCACTTAGAGTCATTTACAAAGTAAACAAAAATCCACCAAAGGCAGTGTGTTTCCGACTTTTTTCTACTGCGGAAGCTCTCGCCCCATATGCATTGAAAAGCCGGAGCTATGTGTTCAAAAGAAACTAGTCCAGCATTTAAAACTACCATGGACCTAGTTCGGTATGTTCTCTTATGCTTCATTTTTTTGTTTTGATACCTGTGTGCGTAATTTTCTTTATTTATCTTCATTCAATTCACCCTATATTTCAGGATTTCATCATGAGCTGACATTAGTTAGAGAACCATTGGAAAACCTGGGAGTACTGGACAGCTGTTTCGTCCTAGTTTGGGACTCTTCAGCAGTACGCACCCACCCTATATTTTTCAGTTATAAAATCAGTTATTTTAAGTTTGTTCCCATGCTCCTCCTGATCACACTTGTAATATGTTTGGAATAACCATTTTACAATTTTATTCTAATCCTGTGTAGTTTTTTGTTTCTATGCCTCTCCTAACTTACATTTCAAGTTGAAAATTTTGATGTGATTTTGTTACCATGCTCATTCTGTTCACACCTGTAATTCGTTCTATCCCTGCGTAATTTTTGTCTCTAAGCCTGCTGTAATTCATATCTAGTTGAAAATAGTTGTCACCTTTTATTCGCCTTTAAAATTATTTCTCTAGTTATCAAATATTAATTTTGCATATGTTGTAACTGTTTTCTAATCCTATGCAATCTTGTCTCTAAGTCCCTTGTAATCTATATTCGTCCCTTCAAACTTTCATATCAAGTTGAAAATTATTATCACCTTCGTTACTATGTGGAATTAAATCAATAATAATTGTATCCATGTAAACTAATCTGTATAAATGCGATTGTACAGCTGCTTTTGAGAATGAAATCGCCGAAAAGATATCTTTGCTGAACTTTTTGTTCTTTTCAGCTGAAGAATGTCGGCTGAAAAAACAACAATTAGTAAAAATGAATGAAGGTTAAAGTAGACTGATGTACAGTGACTTATCTACTACGAGGAATACAATTAATCAAAGAGTTAGATGATATTCACTTCAGAATACAATTTTTGTAAACACTCAAGAAAATACACATCAATTTGACTTTATGGTGTAATAATACTGAAGACGTTGAATATACTGTGCCAATGAAATCTAAATTTAGGAACACAACAAAGTTTTTAGATTACCAATAACCTGAACTGAAAGTATTCATCACTGCTCTGCATATAAACTTAGTTCTCGCTTAGAAGAAGAACCAGGTTTCCTTATAAAGCACAAAATTAACAAATCAGGTGTTGAGGTCACTTGACTATAAAATTGTCAACATAAGGATATTACAGCATCTACTGCTGCAGTATGGAAATGAAAAGCTGGAAATTCTTTTCATCTTGAATAGTGGTACATTATGGTTGACCAGACAAAGGTGATTGAAACGCCAGATAACTGTTTCGCTTGTTGCTAATCACATCACTTTAATATGGCTGAAGAGAAATGTTAGCGCTGATGTGAGTGATTTTCAAATATCGAATTCAACTCCTAGTATGTGTTCCCCAGTCTTACTTTTATGATGTAAACAGCAGTTCTTTTTCATAAATGCAACTAAATCACGCATACAAGTGGTAGATTTGATCAAGCGAAGGCAGGAAATTGTGAAATTTATTTCTGCTGTGGGGTGGGTGGGGATATCAACCACTCACTGATTTCATCTCTTAATGAGCAATTCCTGCTGGGATCAACTTTCTTATCCTAACATGATTACCAGTAAAACCATACAGTGTACACTTACATTTAAATTTCCTAATTGTTCATCTGCATCTTCAGGGTGGCGAATACTTATAGGCTGTGAAATAACTTCTTTTGCCTGACTTAGTAATATTGTGATTTCCTCCAATCTCTGACCGATGTCTGCAGAGAAAAAATATGATTAAATAAAAAAACAAAAACAAAAGTGAATTAATTTTGTCTGCTGAATAAATATACAAAAGAAATATTAGCCCATTTTGTTGCAGGAAATATAAATTCCCGATTTTATAAAGCGTAAGAGAAAATATCTTTGCGTTATGATGTGCGAGGGGAGCAGTTTGTAGTCTGTAGAACAAGTGGTGTCACCCACTATGAATTAAGTTGATTAAAGATAATCACTATGTAGCATAGTGTGTTTGGTAAACTGAATAGAACTTTCTGTTATGGTTGTTTGGCATATCTCCTTCATCAGAAATCTAATTAACTGGGATTGCATTAAAATTAACCAAAGAAAGTTCCAAATCTTCATAAAATAATATTCTCACTAAGTTTATTCATTCTATCTTTTTGGAAAATGTAGGTTCACTTTTACAACGTATTTCATAAATTGCTAAACCTTCAAAGTTGGAAATCTGATGGTGAATGCTAACTGCGCTACAGGAAGTTTATGGATTGTTCTACGGGTATAAATCACCCCCACCTCTTAATGGAAGCAGAAAGACGATTCCTATCTGCAAATGAACACATACATGTGATTATCTTAAAAGCAAATAGCATTCAGCTCCAGTCTGTCTTAACCCAGATAACTATTTTATCCTACTGAATTTCCTGATTGTGCTGTAATTCAGTAATGCACATAAAGCTTGTTAGTGTGTTTTCTTACAGATCAGTCAGACATTACAAACCTGACTGATAGAAAGGAGTAGATACATCACACTAGTTACTAGTGACCAATCAAGATATCCAGTACAGTCCTACAGGAGGTCAATCGCGAGCCCGAATAACTCAGTGGTAACGTCTCTGACTGCAGTACTCACTGGGTGGCGCGGGTTCGAATCTCAGAAGGAACATGAGTCCCTTCAAGGTTGCAGGTACGCCTTGCTGATGAGTTCCAACTAGCACGAAGAAACCTAGGTCCAAGGCTTCCTGCTGATTGCCTCCAACTATCTAATAGACTGATCAGTTTTAGACACACCAATACGTATTCTTACAATGAGCCATACATACACTAATGACTCATAATAGATTCGTCTATTTGACGCATAACACAAACTATTCGGATGTAAATTACTCAATACAATACCATGTACTAATTATTTAAATGATTGAAGTGAAATAGTACACATGATTACTGCTTTCGACCTAATGCCAATAATATTTGATAAGAGTTATTGCAATTTACATCACAGTAAAAAGCTAGCAGAAACAATGTATTTCCTCATATATGAAATAAATTTCGAAACTCGTAGAAATTACCCAAACAAACAAGTTAATTTCCTCTGTTAAACATAACCTATTATTGTTAGTATCAAAACTAAACAGCCAAGTGGTAAAGACTCACTCTCTCTCTCTCTCTCTGTACTTGGCAATGAGTAGTACACACCTTAAACACCCCTCTATGCACGGTTAAACCGTAATAGTCCCTCTATCAAAAGACCAAGACTAGAACAGCAACATTCTATAACTATCTCATTAAAGTAGCATAGAAAACAAAGGCGGTCGCAATTAGTAAGGACTTTGTAATTTGTAATTACCGCTGTGTTTATCTACCTACTAAACGACGGGAGAGTTTTACTGTTTAGCGTTTATATATTTATATGAGCCTGAAATTCACTGTTTATAAATCAAGCGTTAAATAAGCACGGCATAGTTTTCTGCAACATTTTTTAAAATGCGCTCATGCAAATGTCTGTCTGCCAAACATTTAGAGACATTTTCTGCAGTCTAAACTAACTCTACAAAGATCTGGTTGATAGATGTTCGTAACTTTTGTAGGTTGTATGTTTTTCTGTTACTGAAACTATGCTGATAGAACAGACCAGAATGTGGGTCACTTCACAACACACCATCACCACCACCGCCACAATAAATAATACTACCAAATAAACTAGGTCATTAGATTTCACTAAGTAGTGCTCATTTTATGTGAAAAAAAATGACCGCTAAACTGAGACACATTGTTTTGTGTGTATACAAAATGATAATGAGCACCTGCATGGTTTGTTCACCAACATTTTTGCGTAGGTGTATAAATAGTGAGTGATCTAGCATCACTATTCAAGTATTGATTGCCACGTGACTGAAAATTTCATATTTGCTGATTGATTGGTTTCTGTTTCATATACTGTTATCATTTTGCACACTGTTAACCTTGGATGAAATGAATGCACTTGAGCTTAGTGTTTTCTTTTGTACAAGTGTTATTTATAGTGTTCTAAAAGTATCTCTTATTATTAGTAGCTAAATAAATTGAATATAAGCTACAAATTATAATAGAAATAGTGATTTCAGATTAACTTCTTGTGATCAATAAAATATAGATTCACTCTTATAATGATAGAAAATAAGAACAAGTTAGTGGCATATTGCACCTGGAAAAATAACTTTCCTGATTTCTAAAGTCATTATCAATACTACATTCATTTTTGTCATTACGGACGTCAGGTGATTAATTCAAGCCTGAAGTTTGTTTATCTCCCAAGTAAAACTTCACGGTTATGAAGTTTTAGTACCGGTGGTATTTATTTTATGAGCTGAGGTGGCTAGGTTAGAGCCTAACTTTTGATCGTTTCTGGACTTTCTATCGGCCTATAAACTTGTGGTTTAAAGGTTCGTCAGTCAGGAATCGAACTCGGGCCACCTGTGTGGTTGGCAAGCATTCTACTGCCGAACCACTGGTCACTGAGATCAAGAGAGAAAAACTTAATACATCTATGATCAAGGGTTGGAACTGATGTGATCACGAGGAATAATTTTGCTAGGAATATCACAATAAATAAAATGTATCACTGTGTGTAGAGTCATTACACACGGTAATATACTTCATGTTAAAGGGTATGTTTCAGGATTTCATCATAAGCTGACATCAGCCAGAGAACCATTAGAAAACCTGGGAGTTCTGGACAGCTGTTTCGCCCCAACTCGAAACTCTTCAGTAGTGTGCGCCCATCGAGGTTTGAACCTAGGACTTTCTGGTTACAAGGTGAGCTCGTAGACCATTAAGCTACGGGAATCCGACCAAATGGTCTATGACTTCCAGCTTCTACCGATTCACGATATAGTGCTACCACTAGCAAATGTCATCGGTGAAAATCTGTCCTCACACCCGACTTTTCGTACCTCACTGGTATGGATCCTTTCAGTTGGTGCATGCAGCTAGAATGTCTACGAAACTGTGCTTCTAACCATCTTAATCTAATTTTCAGGAACAACAACACTTATACATCAGTTGTACTGAAGTAACTGAAGTCGACGTGACACTCTCAAAATAGTGAAGAATTCTGACCAGAACCAATCCACTGTTACGATTAAAATTATTCACACTTCATTCTCCATATAAGTGTTTAGTAACACTTTCATCCTCATCTTACTGTTTCGTGTTCCGTCTTATATTATTCCATGATGTTTGATAGTATAGCTTTAATTCCACTGATGTCTTTATTTTTATCGCTCATACTTGAATAATGAGAGGTGAGAAAAAGTGTTATTGATTAGCAGTTATCATTAACATCCGTTCGAAGTCATTCTGAGTATCGCTTATCTACATGAAACGATTTATTTAGAAACCGGGTTGAGGTAGAAAATGATTCAGGCTTGGAAGCGTCTTTCAAACATTATATACTTCCTATAAGGCCACATATTCTCTTAAGAATTGAATTCTAAATTATGTGGAATATATAATCCTGGTGAAATAACACTTAGATGTCTACTTATCAGCAGAGAGAGATGAGGAAGTTATAGAAAAGAACAGTTTTGGTCAGTCTCCTTTTATTACAATTAGTTATTTACAATGTTATATTGTGTATCAGTTAAAAAGTTTCTCATCCTACGCAGAGCACACACAAAGGGTCAAAACAAGCGCAAAGTCATTCAACAATTCATCCATATGTTAAGTTATAGTACAACCAAATGACTTTTTTAAAGAAGTTTGTTTCCTAAATGGATGACAGATGGAAAACCGCTGGAAACTTAAGGGAAACATGCTTATACGCTATCTTATTTCTGGGTTCTTTAACAAATTACTCAGGAAAGTAAATAGCACACTTATTTAGAACGTCGCACACAAACTGCAGGATCAATGAGTCATTTAACTAATCAATGCTGCTTTCCATCATTCTTATTCAGTGTTTTATATTTTAACGTTTGAAGACATATTTATATCACATTGGTATTGTATTTGGCTGTTTCTCTTCTCTAAAAAAGCTCAATAACATTTGTCAAGCCTATGTTAAACAGTCTGAATCACACAGAAATGCAACAAAGCGTACGCATTACTTCTCAGATGAATTTTGTCATTGAGATTCTGTCTACCCGAGTCCTAGAATGAAGCGAAATAGCTACAATTTGTCGGCTCATTTTTAACAGTCATTTGGTTAAGTAAGACCAAGGCCAAAACAGAGTTTACTGGAAAAAAAATCACAGGCATGAACACCAGCACAGTCGAAAAAGATAGTTAACAGAGACGAGAAAATCAAATAGCAAAAGTTAATAAATTTCATTAGAACTCCGTTTACCTATTTTGCATACTTAGTTTTGTATATCACAATGTAATACAAATTGTGTACATAAATAATGCAATCTAAGACACTAAGTATTGCATGTTAACAAGAAAGGGGAGGGTGAATAATTTATGCAGGTCAAAAGAAACTCTAGACAAGTTGGTGAGAAGTGAAAAATCAGTCGTCATGACTGAAAACATCAAAAATGAATGGCGTCATTTTGAGAGGAGTAAATAAATAAATCTACAATTTAAGGATCATAAACAGCGCTGGTCGAGTAAAGATATGATAATGAGTGCTATTTGCCCCTTAAACAAAGTACGATAAGAAGCTAGTAAAAAAAAATACAAAATTTTGAAAACAAGTATACCAGTATAATTCGGACACTCAAGTAGAAAGAATGCTAGGTGCACCACACAGTGAAATTGTATTACGACCGTGAATTTGAAATTTTTCACTTTTACTGCGTATTAAGTGACAGGCTTTTACAAGTCCATTCAGGCATTTTGATTTCCCTGTTAACATTGTCGATCAATAGTCCTTAAGAGTCTACCATCTTTAATTTATGCCTTACTGTAATCAGTTTTCAGAACGAAGTCTTTCTGTTTTCTATCTTTCTAACTCCACCTTGATATGATTTCGAGCAATAAATTGTGCTTGAAATGTCATCAGTAAATATTACTACTGTATAACACTGTGAGACTTTATCAAAACAAAATTTACCCATAATTGAATTACACTCTACCACAGTGTACAAGTTCTGTTCTTATATCACTTTCTAACTCCTTTTTGATCTTATGTACAAATGAAACACCTTCACTGACCGAATAAACACCACTAATAATGTTTTAAAGTGGTATTTTTCTGTACATCATAATGAACATTTCAACTTGGAAAACTATTGTAATTGAAACTGAGCAGTCAAAAAAAATGTTCTATGAAAAGTTAAGTTATCCGTGTGATAATTGTTTTGCTCATATCTGCTAAAGTAGCCACTGTATTTTGAATCAACTGTGAATTTGTTTATGCTCTTTAGAAGCCCGTTCGTTAAAGTCAAGTGAAACTGAACTTAAACTTCACTTGATCGAACCAAATAGGTAGAAATAATCACCTGCTTCCAAAATTTCGTCAACACATTATGCTTGTAAAAGTAACTCGATATTTATCTAACCATTCTTCTTCATTTGTGTGTGTGTGTGTGTGTGTGCCGTACTGAGGTTAGGTGTAGAGTGCTAGGTAAGGAATGGAAGTCAATCGATGAGGTTGTGAAGCAACATTGGTTGAGAAGTTTTGAGCACATCGATGAGCAATGTTAGTTGACACAGGATAAAGCTGAGAAAGAGATAGAAGTGATCAAATTAAGACATGGCATCAATCCATGAATTCCTTGACAGTTGGTTCGAGCCATGTAGTTCTCCGGATGCTAGGAACCAATGAAATGAGTATGTTAGTGACTCAGCTCAATGGCATACTGAATGGCACAGATACATTCACTGTAAGTAATATCGCAGATCCCTTAAACCCTCATATTTTTCATGTCCCATTCTTTTCTACTCATAATATTTTGCTTCGTTTTCGGTCTTATCTCTTTTCCCTACCTCTGTATGCCACGTGAAGTGTGGCATGTTGGAGTGCTGCACTTCTGTGCAGATGTTTTACGTTGAAACTCAGTCAGTTCAGTAGACATTTATCCATGGGCCGATAGTTTTGATTGAGCTAGGCAGTTCAAATATACATATCTAAATACTCATTGTTTTTTCAACATACTAAATATGGTGTACCTTGCTAACTGCTGGTTTGAATCTAAAAGTGACAGAAATACTATCACAAATGGAAAAACAATGTATTAATGTTGTGAAGGAAGTCGTCTACCGTGGTCCAACAAGAACTGCATCAGTTGCTTACCGCCTACCTAAATCACTAAAGTGAGAAAAAGTAGTCGTACACATAGTTTTCTGACATTCGTTTGGTCATATGGTGGAACATTCAGAAAGTTAGGTATTGTAGGCAACCAGATCAGTCACGTTTATAACATCATTCTCACTGCTGCTACTAGCATTGTCGCTATTATTATCTACATAAGATTTATTCTTAATGATGTCCAAATGACAAGAATTCAACATACATGATATCACATATTTGCGTTTCTCTTAGTGAATTTAGAAAAACTAAGAGAGATCAAACTAGCAAGACCTAGTAATCTACACAATTCGTTAACAATAAATTATTGCTGAATACACTGGTCATTGCTGATATCCAAAATGGATAAATGTACAACGAAAAGAGAATGACCAAAAATCTACCTGTGCTACTGAAGTCTAAATCACTGTTTGAATGGAACTTAAGTTCGCTAGATAATGACTTCGAATCTGCGGTGTTTGTTCGTTTCTCTTCGTTTTCTTGTATATCATTGAAATTCCTTTCTACTGAATCTTCTTGTGATTGAGATAATAACGCATGTATTTTGGCTGCCTCTTGCTGAAACTCAGCACTCTGATTTGTAATCCGGACCTGGCGATTGGCTTCCACAAGCAATTTATCAAGGTAACTCCATCTTTCTTCAACCTCATCGAATAGTTGGTCCAGTTCTTCGATATTTTCACCGGCTATTATTGAGAAATGATAACAAAACATGTGAAAAAAGGGAAAGATGCTAAATGGATTATTCAAATACGTCTGTCTAATTCTATGATCTTCACAGTTTAGAAAATAAACCATCTGATGCAATACCTTAATATGCAAGCCTATGGATAAATTCGTCAGACTAGTCTGTTAAAAGTCGTAAAGTCAGCTTTCATTATTGTCTTAATCTACTCCAGAGGAAATATGCATAAATATATCATCAATTACCAGACTTCAGTGCTGATATTAATGAGTTAAAATCCCTGATGAAACCAAATCTGTGTTGCATACAACTTTTTCAATATCCAGGGTCTCTAGTTAATCAGTTCCCGCAAATCCTACCTTGCTTAATGAGTTTTGTTGAAGGAACTTATTATTCTGTATATGTATATGTATATGGGTAGAACCTTCAACAGCGCCTAGACAACAAAAGCGTTTATTAACAAACGAAATTCATCGACTAGATTAAGAGATTGATTATCATGAAGCGTCTTGTAAGAGGTAGTATGAATGATTCAACTAAAACTTTATAGAATTCCCAGTAGCCAGCGATATTCATAATGCGATAAACAGTACACTACATTACACGACAAGGGAAAAGATCAAGATGAAATATTATCGTAGATTACCTTGAGATAATTCCTCTCGATATTGTTCTCCTAATAGTAGAACACGTTGTTTAATGTTTCGCCAGTCGTCAAGTTCATTGGTTACACGATTGATCACGTGGATGGCGTCATCATCATCATCCTCATCCTCATTATTATTGTCTTTACCAGGACGGGTAGATATAACATGCCGACCTAAAGCCTGAGCTTGTCCACTTGCTTCAAGGGCACGACGTTTATCCATTGTAATTAACTCTAATATTTCAGCGCTGTTATCCAACCAATTTAACAGTTCTTCAGCTTTAGCTTCAAACTCTGCCCGATAACCTAGAATGATAGAATGGAAAAACAATTATTGGTGATATGCTGGAGAGAATCAGTGGGGAAGATTCAGTTACATACAACTTTTTTATTTCCTGGTATACATTAACAAGTAGTTCAAAAAACCTTAGGCTTTTCTTTAACAGATTCTAGCTAGAACACTAGAAGAATGAATATCATAATTTAAACACTTATTAGAAGGCCCACAGAAGTAAGTGAATTGATTAAGGCAAAACTCAGTTGAATATTCGGACATTCAAAATGCACACAGTCAGACATAAACATTTACACAAGTAAATTCTAAAAATGCTGTAACAGTGAACATATGAAATCTGGCTTGGTAAATTGTGTGCATGAGAGAATCTAAGTGTTTCTGAGTAGAACAAAGATTGTGATTTCATGTTACTCTATTTATTTTTGGTAAAATGTAATGGAAAAAAACTCTTTTCAGTTGCAAAACGAGAATTTAGATATTTAACGCTATTTTTTGTGGAATCAAAGTTGAAGCCAAACGAAAGTTTAAAAAAAAATCAAAGAAAGCCAGAATCATGCTAATCACAATTTCAGTTTATATTCTAGTTAAAATTAGACTTTCTTTTCGTGTTGTAAACTATGATTACAGAAAGTCATTTGGTATAAAGTAATTAAAAAGATGATGACTTTTCGAATGAACACATCAGTGTAAGTAAAGATACTGAGCATCAGAGGCTTGTTTTGATAGATTAGTTTTAGACTGCACTGAAGACTGCACTGAACAATCTTGATATGAGTAACCGAGGATATGGATATGTTGATTGCAAATTTGTTACTTACAGTAGCCTTAAATATGTTTAAGTTAATTTTGTATTTCTCGTTGAATGATTATTTTGGTTTGAAACGTTCGACTTCTGCTGATGTGTCCATCCCTACTATGGAGGTTTTGGCTGTATTTGAGGACTAACATGATATCATTTGTTGGATAGCGACTAACACTGGAATCTAGGATAATCACTTCGTTCTATTGCACTGCTAGTCACCATATCCCAAATAATCTCAAACATGCTTTTCATCTACTCCAACAAACTGATAACTGTAATGAGAATGTGGGCATATCCATGGAATGATTCAAGTTTGACATTTTTTCTTTTTGTAATTTTACTAACTATCGTAAAAATACATGGATCTTGTGGCACCTGAATTTTAAAAACTGTCACCCAATGAGCTGGATAAATGACCGATCAGGATAATACTTTGCTTTTCATGAGAACTACTTTAATCGAAGGAAGGCTTAGAAGAGAAGCTTACCACTATAATAAGAGGTGTCTCTCTGGCAATAGTGGTCTACACTGATTAAGAATGCGACGTATGGAGTGATTGAGAAAAAAACCCATTTTTTTCACAAAGTATGGCTTGAAATGCAATGTGGTCACTTGATGAGTGATATGCAAGAACAAATGCTGGACGTAGGATGTGATATCCAGTCGCCAGACGAAGGAACGATTTACTGAGATAATCTATGATTGGTAGTTTTTCTCTACATGTCAACCACAGATGATTATAGCAAGTCATATGCATTTGCCAAGCATTTACATTAAATTAGCAGAAAAAAAGTTGGTGAATGTGTTTGATTATACTAAAATTAAACTAGCTATTGAAATGTGTACAGTACAACTTATCACTCCGCTTAAAATGAGACATATTCTGAGAATTCTAAAATCCAAGCCTCGTAGAAAAGGTAACTTGTAAACAAATAAATCTCAACTCGTGTATTTAAGATAAGAATTTATCTTCTTTTTGCGTGAAGATAAATGTTCACGGAGATTTTAAAAATATCACATTTTACAGGCCTTACTTCTTGTCTAAATTCTTATTGTTGATCTCACTGTTTGATCTTTAATCATCTGGTTTTGATTGCATGGAGGATTTCATCATGAGCTGACATCAGTTAGAGAACCACTGGAAAACCTAGGAGTACTGGACAGCTGTTTCCAATGTCCTGGTTTGGGACTCTTCATCAGCAAGCACCCACCAGGGTTTGAACCCAGGACCGTCTGGATACAAGGCAAGCGAGCTCGTAGACTACTGAGCTACTGGGATACGATCCATTGGCCAATGCATGAATTCTAGATTCTGCCAATTCACAACATAGCGCGACCATTTCGCAATGTCTTCTTCTATGAGTTACTGCCTCATATTCGATCAGCTGTACCCTACTGGTCACGGCTGGTTTTCTTAGTTGGTGTGGCGTTTCTAACTTGACCACTTCTGTCGCAACAATTATATTTCACGTTTATTCACTTTCTGGAACAATCAGTGAATATTTTCAGCCAAAATGCGTGTAAAGTTTACCATATTCACATAGTGAAGCTGTTGTTAGCTTCACGCAGATCAAAAGAACTGATGAGGCCAAACGATGTTATGATAATCTACTCAAATCTTTACACTAGTCAGCAACTAGTGTAATATGTCCAGTGTTATTTTTGGTTGCGGATTGGATTCTGTCAGGCTTTTTATTGCCTTATGAAATTTATCCAAAGGAAGGAATTATATGAAATGCTGATTTTTTTCCCTGAGTAACTAACTACTGCGCTATATTTTCCTTATAAATAAAAACTCTCGTTTCTGTAAAATTTCATGCCAAGAGTTTGTGGAAACTATCACAATAATTTACCTTTCGAACACTAAATCTGAGGATATAATCTTATTGACATACAATACCGATAACTAACTGTTTGCATTTGTGAAATTCTTAAACATAAACACATCTATAATTGTATATATTGTTGGATTTACATGTTCAAGTTGCTCCAAGTCAGTGAGTTTATGGTTGAGATATCATTTTAGTTAACTGTGCTGAACTATATTGCATGTTGTTGTATTGTATAGTTGTTGTCGCTTTTTGCCCTTTTTCTGTGAACTGTTTTCCTTTGCTGGTGTTGTTCTCATTGTTTCATCTCTTGTTATCCGATTTTGAGGGGAGCAACCCAAAAAGTCGCTTCTCTCTAAACTTTATCTTAATGTAATCATTCCTTTCTCAGGCGTGAGGCTAGCAACCCCACCCTGTAAACAAAATTGCTACAGAAACTTCAGCACAATGAACCTCTTTGCACCAAAAGAAAAAGTCTGTGTGGGGACATGGAACGTCCGAACTATGTACGAGACTGGGAAAGCTGCCCAGATCGCCAACGAGATGAAAAGATACGGAATACAAGTGCTGGGAATATGTGAAAGCAGATGGAATGGGAGTGGACTCACCAAATTGTCAACGGTGAGTCAGTGATCTACTCCGGTCACCCAGAAGATAACCACACGCACACCGAGGGCGTGGCTATCATGATGTCACCAACGGCAACGAAAGCCCTGATGCAATGGGAGGCGATTTCGTCCAGGATAATGACCGCCAGATTCAACTCCAAAGGAAGGAAAGTGTCAATCATACAATGTTATGCACCCACAAACAACGCAGACCTCGAAAAGAAAGAAGAATTCTACAGACAACTACAGGCAACAATGGACAATACTCCAGCTGGCGACATGAAAATACTAATGGGAGACATGAACGCCAAACTGGGACCAGACAACACAGGAAGGGAACTCATCATGGGTAGAGAAGCTCTCGGAGAAATGAATGAAAACGGAGAACTCTTCGCCGACTTCTGCGCCTTCAACGAACTAGTGATTGGTGGCAGTGTATACAAGCACAAAGATATCCACAAGGCTACATGGGTGTCACCAGACGGGCAAACCAAAAACCAAATCGACTTCATCTCAATCTCAAGGAAGTGGAGGCGCAGCCTACTGGACACAAAAGCAAGAAGAGGAGCAGACGTTGGCTCAGACCACTATCTCGTACAAGGGACAATCCAAATCAAATTAAAAGCTTTCAGGGAAACAGGAGCTGCAGATAGACCACAAGCCAAGTTCAACACTCAAAAGCTGAAGGACCAGGCTACAAAGGACATCTTCATTGCAAGCATAAAGGACAAAGCCGAGACACAAATCAACACTAGCGAAGAGGTCAGCGTCGAAAAGCACTGGAACAACTTGAAAACGGTGTGGAGTCAAACCTGCATGGAAGTTCTAGGCAGAAAAAAGAGACAGGACAAACAGTGGCTCACTACGGACACTTGGAAACTAATAGAAGAGAGAAGGACAGTGAAACAAAAGATTATCCAGTGCACTGACGAGCAACAAAAACAGGAGCTGAATGCAAGCTACAATACACTGAACAAAAGAGTGAAGAAGAGTGCCAGGGAAGACAAAAGAAAATATTATGAAACCATGGCAAACGAAGCAGAACAAGCTGCAGGCAAAGGAGACCTCGCCACACTCTACCAAACAACTAGGCACCTTTCGGGCAAAAGTTCGACACAGATTAAGCCAATAAAGGACGACAATGGAAAGTCAATCACCAAAGAGGTGGAACAGAGAAAGCACTGGGCTGAACACTTCAAAAGACTTCTAAATCGTCCGCCACCTACAACACGCCCAACAATACCAACAACGGAAGCAGAACTACCAGTGAACACTGACCCCCCGACGAAATCAGAAGTCCTGAATGCAATCAAGATGCCAAAAGCTGGAAAAGCAGCAGGACCAGATGGAATCCCAGCAGAAGCTTTGAAAATAGACCCAGAGACAACAGCGGACTTGATGACGCCACTGCTGGAGAAGGTGTGGAAAGAGGGCAAAGTACCCGAGGATTGGAAGAAAGGATACTTATTCAAACTACCAAAGAAAGGAGACTTAAGTCAATGTAAAAACTGGCGTGGAATTATGCTTCTGTCCATTCCAAGCAAAATACTAAGTCGCATCATCCTGGAGAGAATCAAACAAGCCCTAGATGAAAAACTTCGTCCGGAACAGGCCGGATTCAGGAGAAACAAATCATGTATTGATCAAATCGCCACTCTACGGATCATCATTGAACAAAGCTTGGAATGGCAGTCACCTCTCTATCTCAACTTCATCGACTTTGAAAAGGCCTTCGACAGCGTCGATCGAGAGGTCATTTGGCAACTACTTCGCTACTACGGGGTCCCATCGACAATTATACATCTCATCCAACAGTTATACGACAATGCTGCATGCCAAGTAATCCACAACGGGAAACTTACGGAAGCCTTCGAAGTGAGGACGGGAGTGCGACAAGGCTGTCTACTATCACCAATGATCTTCCTGATTGCAATTGATTGGATAATGCGACAGACAACGGCAACCAACGAGGAAACAGGCATAAAATGGACTGACACAAAAGACTTGGAGGATCTGGACTTCGCCGATGATAAATGTCTGATTTCCCTCCTTCACCTACCTGGGAAGCATCGTTTCAACTACAGACGGAACTGACGAGGATATCAAAGCCAGAATCGGAAAAGCAAGACAAGCTTTCATTGCTCTCAAATCTGTGTGGAGGTCAACAGCACTCAGCATCAAACATAACATCCGGATTTTCAACTCCAATATAAAATCAGTGCTACTTTACGGATCAGAGACTTGGCGAGTCATAAAGAGCATCTCAAACAAACTTCAGACCTTCATCAACAGCAGTTGTCTTCGCTCAATACTCAAGATCAGATGGCCAGCCAGAAAAGATCAGCAACAGGGATCTCTGGCAATGAGCGAACCAATCAGGAACCGATTGTGAAACAAATAGACAGGAAGAAATGGAGATGGATTGGCCATACTCTGAGGGAACCAGCAAGTGACATCACTAGACAAGCCATCGCTCGAGTGGAACCCGAAAGGGAAGGCGGCAAGTTGGTCGTCAGTGCAAGGGTGACTTGGAGGAGGGCATGTGAGGAGGAGATGAAAGCATGTGGACAGACCTGGAGCGGGTTGAAAAAGTTGGCAGAAAACAGAAGGCAATGGAGGTGCGCAGCTGAAGCCCTATGTTCCTCTAGGAACTAAAGGATACAACAATAATAATAACTAACTACGTGCGGTAAACATCATCAGCATAGTTCTACAAAAGACTATTTTTGATTCAGATAATTTCTCGGTGAAGTTTCCAGTTTCACTGTTCAGTAAAACATGTTGAAGCCCAAGAAAGAGTATGATTACTGATAGGACTTCAAAGAAGTCTCTAACTACTCCATGCCAAATAAATAGAAGATTCTGTATCTACAGTTTACCATCAACTGAATTTAAGTATATTACTAATGGATAAGTGCTGTGAGTGAATACGTTTGCACTCCATATTCTAACGTGTATTTTGAGATTACTGTTCAGAAAATACTGGAAACAAACCGTTGTCTCATTCAGTTCCCGTTATCTAGTGAAGTTTAAGTTGCCTGAAAAGGAGTAACCGATTAATCTGTAAAAATTACTATTTTTATTCATAATGATGTAACTGTCGTGTATAACGCACACTGAATACTAGGTGAGTTGAAAGTTGTAACAACAATTTCTCTCACTTACCGACATACATATTAATTTAGATGCGCATAACGACATAAACTGACTGCAGAAAGATAAAATAAGGTTTACTATTATACTATCCTTTCCAATCCCTATAATTTAGCAAAATATAAAGGATCGAAGGAGAGAGAAAGCATTATTTGTAATTAACGCAAAGAATTCTCTTTAGAATTAATTTCGTTTATTCTCATTATTGTTTCAAACAACTATCTTGATTGGAAAATACGATTTATACCAGTTATATTTAGTATAGTCAACTTACCAGTTGGCGATGGTGGCGGTTGCATATCGAAACGTGACATTTTTGTCGCTTTGGGAAGTACAAGGTGACCTTCAGCCGTTCGTTTAGTTTCTGATTGTGAGTTCTGTGCAGTCATAAAAAGAAAGAGAAAGAGAAAGGTGAACAAGTTATGGAATGTACTACAGGCAAGATTTACCGGTAGTATGTAGCAAGATTTTCATAGACACAAAAATACCATTAGAGAGATAGATTTGATACCAAAAGGCAAAACATGGAAGACACGAAAAGGAGACAATGAAACACAATACGAAGTGCAGAAGTAGCACAACACGGAAGATCTGTGTAAATGACTACTTTAATATAAGGTACATATAATTTCCCTATATGTCTATGTCAAATTGATGACAGAAATTCCATTCAAGTAATGGTTTGTAGGGATTTGATTGATTGCTTACAGGATTTCATCATGAGCTGACATCAGTTAGAGAACCACTGGAAAACCTGGGAGTACTGAACAGCTGTTTCCAATGTCCTGGTTTGGGACTCTTCATCAGTACGCACCCACCAGGGTTTGAACCCAGGACCTTCTGGTTACAAGCCGAGCCCGTAGACCATTAAGCCACTGGGACTCGATCCAATGGCCAGCCCATGAATTCTAACTTCTGCCAATTCACGATATAGCGTGACCGCCAGCCAATGTCTTCGGCGAGTATCTGTCCTCACACTCGACCTGCTGCTGCCTTCTCCCACAACAAGTCATGAATATAATGCTATAGTCAGAACAACTCAAAGCACACAGTTGCCGAAACAACAGACATTGAATTAAATTATTACCTGTTCAGATTTTGTCAATGAGTGATTTGGAATATTGCTCAATAGGCCTGTTCTAGTTGTAGAATCAACATATTTTTCAACATCTTTTAAATCTTTCTCAGGCCAATCTTCACAGTTGATTTGAGGATCCCGTAGTTGACTCCAACGTGATACTAACTGGTCAACTATTTTTTCAACTAAACGGCTAACACTATCTGTGTCACCACAAGCTTCACGTATTGCTTGTGCTCGACGATCCAAGCTAGCCAATAATTGTGCCCAACGAGATTCGTGTGGTGATAAGCAGGCCTTGAAATTCAAAAACACATGAACAGAAAAACAGGATAGGTAAGTCATTTATACGCGACGAAATATTTATCTAATATACTTTTGGAAGATTCAATTATCCTAAGAAGCATGTTAAAGGTAAGCATACCCTTGAAATTTATATCTGTCTGTCAGATGTTCCAGTATCAAACTAGGCCTTAGGACCTGTTGATCAGAAACTTTTCAGGGACTAATTTGATAGTATCTGTTTGAATTAACTTACCAGGATTTCGGAATGTTTTACTTTATTTGAGTGATATATATATATATATATATATATATATATATATATATATATGATAGCTGCTAGTAATGAATTTCACTACTCTCTGCTTAACTCTACATGCCTGTATTACTGTGCTCCTATTGAGACACATATCATGTCAATATTTCAGAAACCAGAAATTCATTAATTCAGCTAAGGACCGTCAGCGCACACTATTTGTTCCAGATGTCTTCGCCTTACTCGTTGGCAACTGCCAGAACTAAGATGATCAGTTCCTTTTGAAAAGTTTGATTGTTGCCAAAAGAAATGCATTTCACATATTCACTTTAGTCCTGTAGATAAAAAACAACGCTCAATAACACCTTAATCGTAATTTGCTATCTACATTTCAAAGTTCACAAAATACAAACATAAACTGACATTATAACCAAAACTGTGGTGAATCTCTGAGATATTCTCATCATTATATAAGTTACACTAGTCAGATGACGTTAAATTACTCTAACTTCTTAAGCCAATGAACATTATAGTTGACATAAGCTCATGCACTTAAAAATGTATACTGACGTGCAGTCTAACTCAAAGTGTGTATCAGAAACGAGCTATAGTAAAATACGTAAGTAGCAAAAATGCTAGCAGAAACTTCAACACTGCGGTGAAGTAATAATTCTATTTTAACTGATTAAAAATGCCCATTAAAATTTTCAAAAGAATGGATACTGAACAAAGAGTACTCTTTCCGATAAATTCATCATCAGGCTCAACATTTATACATACATTATAGTGAATGAATGAGTTAGTGTTATAAACGACATTAATGTTTAAATAACATCAAATCAATAATATTGATAGATTACAGCTGAAACGCATCAACATAGAATAAGCTGAATGTCAGAAACATTAGGAAAGATAATAAATCAAATTCATGAGTTTATAGCTTCAACTGAAGGCCAGGGCAATAGTAGGGGCTGAACTTGCTTCTTTTGGACACAGGGTGCGATTCGCCTCAAACAACCAGCACTCTGTGTCCAAAAGAAGCAAGTTCAGCCCCTACTATTGCCCTGGCCTTCAGTTGAAGCTATAAACTCATGAATTTGAACTATTATCTTTCCTAATGTTTCTGACATTCAGCTTATTCTATGTTGATGCGTTTCAGCTGTAATCTATCAATATTATTGATTTGATGTTATTTAAACATTAATGTCGTTTATAACACTAACTCATTCATTCACTATAATGTATGTATAAATGTTGAGCCTGATGATGAATTTATCGGAAAGAGTACTCTTTGTTCAGTATCCATTCTTTTGAGAATCTTTTAATAAACTAATTTCATCCATACATGTAGCAAAAGATTGAACATCCCAATAATTTAAAATATAATTGTTTGTATCACCAATAACTGGCCATTGTATAGTCCATAAGATTGTGGAACCATTAGATTAACCACAGCATAAAAGATGACCATTAAATTTAGAAAAACTGAAGTAACTCAATTTTCAATTTGTTTCAAATGACAGATGAGGATAAGAAGTGATTTACAATTATAAATAGGTAAAGACGTTCAGGCATGTGTCTTAAAGCAAGTTTACTGCCATCCAATGATTGTATGACAACTTTTGATGATGGAGAAGGACATGGTAATCAATATGATGTTAGTGTGGCAATAGGTTGACCCATATGAATTCCGTTTTACTGTATATTTTCTGACTTATTAATTCTAACCCTTTCTGCATAGAAAAAGCACTTGGACAGGACAATATACACATTTTCAGAGCTTCGTTCCTATCAAGTATAAAAGAAATTTAGTGGAGACCCTCAGCCACAGAGTAAGAGCTATATGCTCAGAATAAGTAATTGAAGATGAATTAAGCATTGTATATGATACTTTGATCTAAAATGGCTATCCCGAAAAATTTATCAAGAAACATATGACAAAGAAAGAGGAAAAGGAGCACTCATTATCTGTAAAAAAGAAGCCTCTTTATATACGACTACAATTCATGGGCGATATATCAAGCGAGATAGTTGCGAAGAAGTTGAGAAAATCAGTTCAAAGAACTTTTACTGCTGGCGAACTACACGTCTTATTCTCTACACGACCGATGGTGATTCCTCGACTGAAAGATGAGGTACCTAGACTAGCCACTTCTAATTGTATCTATCAATTCAACTGCGCTTGTGGAGCCAGTTATATTGGCCGTTGCTCTAGGGACTTGATTTTTCGTGCTCGAGAACATCTCCCAGCATGGCTAAGTAAAAGGTGTAGTGGAAACTATTAACAGCTCGATATTGGAACATCTGGTGCAAACAGGACACAAAGCCAGCATAGATGAATCCTTCTCTATATTATACCGGGTGCCAAATAAATTACCAAAAACATCGAAGCGCCGCAGGCTCCAAACAGCAGAGACTGTTGCGATTCGCCTCAAACAACCCACCTTATATACCATTCTGATTAGCAACAATGTTCCCTAGCAAATGAACAATACTGTGTCAATATGTACTACACCATATAAATAACCATATATAAAACCTATTTCAAATTAATGTATGTGTAAAATATGAGCACTGTGTTAGCATGCAACTCCATATTAATTTGTTTATCAGATATACCTCACAACTTGTTTAGTTACAGTTAATATGATTATCAACAATAAATTATGTTTGAAACATCATTCAGTAAACAGCACTGACACAGCCCATCTTTTAAAACTGCAAAATTACTTGACCAACTTCCAGGTAGGAACAGACACTCACTGATAACACTGGCAGAAGGTCAGACTAAATTGCTAACTGGCAGAAGCCATTGGATCTTAATGCAGCTGCTGAGTAATTTCTCGTTTATATGTTTCACCTGATAGTCCTGATTCCAACAAATAAAGTAGACTGCCAGGAATCAAAGTAAGAGGTCCCGCGTGGCTGGTGAGTATTACACTACTGAGTCACCAACACACGTCATGCCTGATTTCCAGACGTTAACTATATGAAGTGTAGCTTTTCACAAAAGAAGGTTTGTCACCTACTCAAAAGTGGCCATCAGAATAGCAGGAATCATTAATTTTAACGGGCTCCATTCATGTTACTAAACATGATGATGACGCGATAAATCCATAAACCGACACTTGTTGCACATTGTACTAATCTACCTGTTTCTAGAAATCGTCCATCAAAGTTGAATTCCTGCATATTTAAAATCAAATTTTCACGAGTAAACAGAAGTTGGTTAGGGACCCGGCCTCAAAATAATCAGGTCATCATTCCCCCTTATTATGATACAGCTGATCAAATTAACCTGATCGGGAATATCTCAAGTGAATTCGCTTAGTCTGACAACTAGGCCTACCACCATACTATTTTTGACTAGTGTCCCAGTCAGTGTGTACATATCTCTTTTTGTATTTATGCTCTAAGCATTACAGCAGGTGAATTACAATGGATATAAATATATCTTATTAAAACGGTGATTACCAGTATGATTAGATCAATAACCAGTCATTTATTGAAACTTCCAACTGCGTTAACACTGGGGGTGTAAAATACACGTGAGCTTTTTCAATCATACAGCTCAACTATGAGCAAACGTCTTAAACAAAGCACCCAAACATATGCATACACAGACACACAACATTTTCAGTGACAAAAATCCTCACTGATTTGACATAATGGCATAAGATGTACGAAAAGAGACAAACAACTAAGAAGCTAGTTGTGATTAGTTGCAACATCATCCCGAACCCATGAATGGACCAGTCTATGCACATAATCTTTTCACCAAGACAATGTCGCCGTGAAGACATGAATTTGTATTTGATTTCCTATAGTTTTGGTTTGTAAGGGTTTGTTATGTTTTTACGAGTTGATCACGGATTGATATCAGTTAGAGAACCACTGAAAACCAGCGAGTACTGGACAGCTACTGTTTCGTCCTAGTTTCGGAATCATCGGGAGTAAGCATCCACTGGGATTCGAACCCAAGACCTTCCGGTTACAGGGCAAGCTCGTATACCAGTCAGCCACTGGGACCCGATTCAATGGCTCATGAATTTGATTATTAAACTGAGACGCCACCTGACTTTATTTCATTCAGAAATAAATAACTTCCAGTTTTGAATAAACCATCGCTAAATTAATGAAAATGACCTGTCCTGTAATGAATGTGATAATAACATTGAAGCATAAGGTGGATAGCTTAATACTAACGGGCTCACCACTAGTTCTTAGACACGTGTCCGACGGTTCAAACTCTTATTCTGTAGGAGAAGAACATTTAGGAATGGTTATTCATTAGAAGTCTATTCGAAATTACACATCTTACTGTCAGAGCTTCAAGCGTGCTACAACAACACGAATATTCCTGTGAATACATGAAAGCTGTTCGAAAATCCAAAACCACAATATTGTTGACTTGCCTAGCCTCTAGCGTGCATATTTATACATATTTTGCATAAACAATTTCATCTCAAAATTGATAATCTTGACACTTTGACATTTACTAAATGTATGCACAGAATTCCTGATCACTTGATTAAATGAGAAATTCTATCACTGCCAAAAGACAGTATCAACTAATAGGTCATGTGAATGAATACAAGAAAACATGTTTCACAGGATTTCAGAATACATACACATACACACACACAAATATTGTAATGAGTTCATTCGCATACTTTGTTATCAGAAATCTTTTTAAGGTAATATAAAACAGATGACTTGGTGGTGGTCATCAAAATAGAGAACAATTAGTATAAAATAT